AAACAGCTGCAAGACTTACGTATAGATATGGCTATGAGCTCAGTAAACAGCTGCAAGACTTACGTATAGATATGGCTATGAGCTCAGCAAACAGCTGCAAGACTTACATATAGATGTGGCTATGAGCTCAACAAACAGCTGCAAGACTTACATATAGATGTGGCTATGAACTCAGTAAACAGCTGCAAGACTTACATATAGATGTGGCTATGAGCTCAGTAAACAGCTGCAAGACTTACGTATAGATATGGCTATGAGCTCAGTAAACAGCTGCAAGACTTACGTATAGATATGGCTATGAGCTCAGCAAACAGCTGCAAGACTTACGTATAAGTATGGCTCTGCTCTCGGAGACACATCTCAAACCCCGCGAGAGGTTCGTCACTCCGAATTATCATTTTTATCGGACTGACCGCATTCCCCATAAACATGTAGACCTGCGCTATATGCGTGATACGTACACTCGACAATGGCGAATCATATTCATAAGAGACAACCCCATCCTCACGTCATAGTATGTGTTACATAAGGACTATGACAGCAAAGGTTCGGTTTAAAAATCTCTGGTCGTGATCCTCAAGAGGCTTGGCGCCAAGTCAGACTGGTTGGTGATGAACCGTCAGTCGTAGGCAGCTCTGACTCTGGGGTTCAGTCGTTGTGAGCTGATGCTGTTAGAAGCTAAGGCCTGTGACGGTGCGGGAAGACAGAGGAAAGTGAACATCCGCTGTTGGAAACCGCTACCAAGCAGCGGTTAGTGAAGATGTCACTGTAGATATTAGTGTGTGTATAATAGTGAACTGTAAAATGTCACGCGCTGTATCAAAGAATCCAATAAATCCGGTCATTAGTCCAAACCCCATCTATAGTCACACTCCATATCACGTGACAATAATATAAGATGGTCACATGATACGTACCTTGAAATTTAACAAAATATTTACATTATTTCGTTTACTAATGTTGATCCATGTTAGTCAAACAATTCAATAAAGACGGTATATAAATATTCATATAAACCACCTGAATAAGATCACATTTTCACCAGACTACATACACTGCATTGTTTCCGTTATGTGTGAATTCTCCATTTTACCCAAAGACAGTCAGCATTGTTACGTCAATGTGGTTCAACAATGTTACAAAGACTCACGCAATTGTGGACGTGCAGATGGCGCGGCGAAAGTGGATGTCGCCAGCAGGGCAGCCAACATAAACCGCAACATGTCGAATGGAGGTTTTGTAACGACTGGCAGCTGGACCTCTCTTCAGCTATTATATAGACTTGAGAGGGCCGGCCGTTTCCATCTCAGACACGACCTTGTGTTGTCTGCTTGCCTGTGTCTGTGTGTGACGCAGTTATGTGTACCCTGGTCGCTCTTTACTTCACAACGTCCCATCAATGTATTGGTACAATTGCCGTCTAATAATTGGGGCACAGTGCGAGGCAGGATAGCTGAGTCAGTATGATGACTATGGTAAAGCTGGGACTTCGAGTCCCAGCAGGAGCAGATATTCACTACAGCGTCCAGTTCTGCTCTGTGCCGCACCCAGCCTCATAACCAGTGGGTACTGGGGGTATATATTCCCGGGGGTAATGAGGGCAAGACGTGAAACTGAGCATTCACCTCGATTTAGTGTATAACTTAAGAATGAGTGGAGCTGTACATCTTCTCCTCCATACGTCTTCACGAAGCGCACTAACAAGCTTTTACAACTGCAGTGGAGGGAACTGTCCGCTGTTGTCTGTTTCATCGTTTCGGTGTTGAGCAGGTTAGCTCAAGCGGCACCGCCTCCGTATTCGAGTTCTTCAGTTGGAATCTCGGCTGGGAAACCTGCCATCCTGACTGAGTCCTTGTGTGGTTTTCTTCGGTCTTTTCCATCCAAATCCTTCCGGTTCCACCCTGAAGATGGAGATAACGTGTACTTCTGAAACCTCGGCAACACCGTCTCCGTCAATACGCTGCAGTTAACTGAATGTCGCTGTGGCAAATGAATGCTGAATCGGAAGGAATGGTCTAATTCCACGTGTTACCCCAACGTTAACTTGAAGGCACTGAGGAAGACCACGAACCACTGGAGCGAAGCAGCAGCAAGCGAGAGCTGAGGACACAGCCACCGCACGTGACTGCAGATTCCTTAGCGCTGAAACCGCAACGTCACTCGCACAAGTTGCATTGCTCTGTCCTTGGGCATCCGTTCCACTTTCATTTCTGTCGCTATTCTTTCCTCCCAATTTCAGTGTCTCCTTATTTGATCATTTACCTGTCCATCCGTCTGTCTGTCTGCATATCGATATATCCATAAGCCCAGTGCTCATTTTCTGCTGGTTCGAGTACCGGGAAACATTTGCTCCGTATAAGCAAACCTATCTAGCCGAAATCAGTGCATCTTCCGGTGCGCTGTGAGGCTCGAACTTGGTGTTGTAGTACCGGCGGGCAATGTCTTAGAGGAAGAGGGTGCTACACCTAACTATCTCCATGGAGCTGAGCCTTTCTTGAGAAACCGCCAGTTGTGCAACTGCTCAAGAACTTCCCAACATTTTATTACCGTGTTCACAAGAGCACTCCTCTGGTCCCTATCCTGAGCCAGACAAATCCAGTCCTGTCTCTCTAAGATCCATTTTAATATTATCCACCCACTTACATCTTTGTCTTCCTAATGGACTATTTCCTTTTGACTTTCCCGACAATATCCTAAATGCAGTCCCTTTCTCCCCATCCGTGCTACATGTCCTGCCCGTGTCATCCTCCTTGACTTGATCATTCTAATTGTAACTAGCAAAGAGTACCAGTTTTGAAGCTCCTCATTATGCAGTTTTCTCCAACCTTCCGTCACTTCATCCCTCTTCGGTCCAAATATTCACCTCAACATCCTCTTCTCAAATACCCTCAGTATATGTTCCTCCCTTAATGTCAGAGACCAAGTTTCACACCCATACAAAACCACAGGCAAAATTATTCTTTTGTATGTTCTAATTTTTATGTGTTTGGACAATAACTCACTGATCCTGTGTCTGCCTCCTATGTTACGACCGACGGTCAGTCGGCCAGTCTATTTTTGAAAAAACCACCCATATGGGGCTCAAGACCAAGTTTGTCAGACAGTTGCGGGTCTATTTATGTGGGGCGCTCACTTTGACGAGAGGACGGGTCAGTCGTTTGCAATTGCTGCTGACCCTCGCCAGCACAGTCATTCTCGGCTCCGGTTTCTGTGGGACTCGCGACAATATTTTACTGTCTTAAATCTGAGACTTCATTTTTCGTCGCCTCCTACGATCCGCAGAGCTACGGTGGAGGTATTCGACCCCGCCTACACACGGGATACTAACTCATTGCTACAACTCTCCTGCTTATAACGTTCCGGCACGGATCGCACAGAAAACACCGTTCCTCTGTTGCTGCATCCGTTGTTGCGTTAGAGTCTGTAGGGATGCCCACGTGATCGCTATTCATCCATTGTCTTGCAATGGCCGTTGTGTACAGAACCATTACTTAGCAACGGTTGTAGAATTGCTTATCTCGCGGTCGTTGCCTAGCAAGGGGTCTACGCGCCAAAGTATTCTCGGCAAAGAGATTGCACTACCGACTGAAATATAAGTACCTCGAACTGCTACTTGGAGGCCATATTCGTAAATACTGTCAACTTTGACTTCTATAAAAAAACAGAGTGGAAATCCTTGGGGTTTATATAGGACATATGGATGTCTATTGCGCACATGTCTGTTTTTAAACACTGACGTCGGCGTGATTATTCTTCAAAAATCAAGGGATGGTAAAGACACTGACTGGCATTTGCCGGCGCCTGTGCTTCCGTGGCTAGAGCCTCAGTGAAGGAGTTCTCACTTCGACCTGAACAGACTGCCACAACACGCCTTAGTTAATCAGTTTATTTGTAGCTTAGCTGACCGGGGAATTCCTGCCATCAGCCAGTTCAGGTTACTCTGTCATCGGGAAACACAAAGCCCAAAGTATGCAAGGCTATAGTTTTGCTGTTATTCTGTATGGGTTTGAAATCTGGTTGGACATAGGCCGAGGATGTTAGAGAACACGGAACCTGAGAGGGATGAAATATCAGGAGGGTGAAAAAAAAACACAATCAAAAGCTTCATAATTTGTACTCCTCAGAAAATATTATTAGGACGGTCAGGAGGAAGAGACGGCCACATGTGGTAAAGTTGTCCTGTGCTTAACTAATTAAGCACTAAGCCATGATGGTGTATGGGTAGTGGGTGTATATATCCACACGTTCTTGACCTCGGCACTAGTTGGAGGTGAGTGGTCAGCCTCACGACCCGGCCGCTTTACCCACGGGGAAATACTCCCCGGCACCCTTTGGTTAGGAGGCTTGGTGGACCCCAGAGCCGGTCTGGACAACATGTAGAAGTGAAAATTCTTGACCATACAGGGACTCGAACTCCGACCCCTCGGTCGTCCAGCCCATAGCCAGTCGCTATACCGACTGAGCTATCCCGGCTCTGTTTTTTCTTTACAATTTCTACTACATATGGTAAAAAACATGTAAAGATATTCCTGTAACAGGCCGTGGAGGCCCATAGGGTTGTGAGATGTTGAGGTTCCCACATTTTCTAAACAATCGGCTCATAGATGGCGGCAAGGTTGTCAGTCCTACGCGCCGGCCGCCCTTTACCCCCAAGAATATTCCTGATACTCATTTCTGTTAGAGATTGAGTCGACCCCAGGGCCATCGTGCGACTTGAAGGATTAAGTTAATTGAAAAACAGTCCATTGACTTCGACCCGCGACCTTCCGGCTTGTAGCACAGTGCCGCAACCAACTACCCTACCTCAGAAGTTGTAAAAAAAGAACACAACCTTTTTAGTTGGAGAGCCATACAGAAAAAGACCATTATTTAGACTCGAAAGTCGATGCCTGGACATGGCGACAAGAAGACTGTGGCCACGGAACACTGATGCCAAATTATAGGCACAACTGGCAACACTCCAGGTCAAAATCTGACTGCCGGCCAATGCTGTTTTGAGGAAGACATCGCTGAGCTCTGATACGCGGTATCATTAAGTGGTGGCCAGACTGGTTGGTTAGTTAACTGGGTAGTAAGTTTGGTTCGTTAGGCTAGAATTTTCCTAGTTACTCTGACTGCATGTTCAGCAGCAAAGCAGGAAGTTGGTGTATGCTTTATTATGTTAGTACGTAAATAGTTAGGCGGGAGTAAATATACCAATTCTTTACACAACCAGTTATTTGCATTTTCTGAGTTGTCTTATATAACAACTATGGATTTTACGTCTTGCTGACTTTCTCAGACAAAATCACACGCAGAAACCGTCAAGGTCGAAATGTACAAGAAAGTTGCAATCGCAAGAGCTGGGTGTCACAGAGCGGTTCTACAATCAAGTCAGGGCGCAATGTAGCTCTGTAATTTAAGAGTTTCGTCAACTGCAGAAATTGGACTTGAAGTTCAAAGCTTCGTAGTTCGGGTAAGTTATGTAGCAACAGTATCTCTTGTTCTTCTTCTTCTTCCTATGTGGATCCCTCGCGAAGGTCTCGCAGGGGCGTGTATGTACCGTGTAATCATGGGCTTGAGAAATCGCTGTGAAGGACGCTCCGGTCGCACGGGTAGCCTATAGCTTGTCTCTTGCAAGTGGAACTCTGTGTTGCGCATTGTAGGAATTGTTGTTGATTTTCGGGGAACTTCTTCAGTTTGAGGATGATACAAACAACGTCACTGCGGTAGGTTCTGCAAGATATTCGAATTAGCTGTGTGTTACAATGGTTGAATGGAATCTGATTGCGTATAGTTACAGTTACACTTTCCAGTCATTAAAATACTGTAATTCTTGTGCGTAAGTTGCTAAGTCGCTTTATGAAAACAAGGTCTTTGAGAAGGTCATAACACTTTGTAAGGAAGGTGCGGTGTGTAATTAGTGTGCACGGTCATAACACTTTGTAAGGAAGGTGCGGTGTGTAATTAGTGTGCACGTATGTGTGCATGTGTATTTGAGTCGAGTTATGTCACGACCGGCCGTCAGTCGGCCTGTCTGTCTTGGAATATGGGTCCCATCTGGGGCTTACAACCAGATTTTATTTACTGTCGGACAGTTGCGGGTTTGTTGATGCGGGACGCTCTCTCTGACGAGAGGACGGGTCTGTTGTTTATATTTTCTGCTGGCCCTCGCCAGCGCAGTCATTCTCGGGTCATAGCTCCGTGGGACTCGCGACATTAATTTACTGCCTCAGATTCGTGAGGTTCGCGAGACTGTTATAAATCCGTTGCCAGGATACGACTGGTGACGACTGAGAACACTACTATATGCGTAACGGTGAATACAGTTCACAGTGTGTAGATCAGCGATGGCGCTGTATTATTTGTAGCTACGAATTGAGCTTATAAGTGTGAAGTAAATCCGGTCATCAATTCTAAACACGTCTGATAGTCACACACTTAATACGTCACAGTAGGTTTAAATCTTTGATATCACAGACCATATTATTCTCGGTTCATGTTTGCAATGTAACAGTCGCAGTCACAGAAGTTTGTTTGGATGTGACAGGCATAATGAAAGACTTTTTTCCTTGGCGCTACAGCCCCAGTGGGCCTAGGCCTACCTCCATGATTCGAACCCACGATCCCGGCTTCCGAGCGAGCGAAGACAGTGCATGCCTTAGACCGCTCGGCTACCGTGACCGGCAATGAAAGACTTAGTATCTTGAAATTTTGGATTTTCTACAGTAAATTTAATTTCGGAAAAAATTAATATCAAACCGGTTGAATTATTTCAGTAATATCTATACCTGAATAGAATTGGCAGGTTGAGGGGGAAGAAACAAATGCAGAAGCCACTAAAACAGTTGATTGTCATCTAGGGGCGTAGGTCACTAAATCCTCGTGTGTTTGCGTGTGGAAACGGTACGGTAGGTGAAAGTCGTACGAAAAGGTTAAGGTGGAGATCGAAGAGGAGAAGAATAAGAGAAAGCAGAGAACATACTAAATTCTTTCAGAATGTTATGTAATCTTTGGTTCCTAGGTGGACCAACTAATAATCTTTGACCATTAGACAGCAATTGAATGTAGTGAGCGTAGTGAGTTTGCTAATTTGTATTTGTAATTGACCAAAATTATTTTCAGGTAACATTAAATCTACAGTAGGTGCAATGGCAGCAAAATCAAAAGGCAAACCAAACAGAGAATTCAGCAGTTTAATCAAAGGATATTTGATTTTTTATAACGTTGCGCAGGTTTTGGGGTAAGTATTATTTTTATGTTTAACTAACATTAAAGACAGCATTTTACGACATTGTGGAAATGTAAATGTGAAAGTTCATAATTGTTATCACAATTATTATTCTGTTTTCCGTCCATTCCACATGAGATTCTTCTTCGTTCATATAAGCGTAATTCAGTTTGTGTATTTTCAAAGTTCTAGCTATTAATCTCTTGTTGCAGATTTTGTGTCGTTTTCCGTTTTCATTGTAGTATATACCTAAATCAGAATTGGTTATATCAATTTTTGTTTATAATTTACTAATCATGGCCGAGTGATAACATATGTAAACACACAATGATGGTAAATAAATTGGCCTCCAGTTAGTTCGTGGAAATATCGCAGTAATTCATAATATCAAGAATCTTCACTCACTTTACAGTAACACAGGAAACTATCAACGCCATCATACTGTTTAACTGTGTTTAAACTCCTGTTCATTCTGTTACTGATTTACAATCTGTTACAAAGGTGAGGTAAAGATGACGATTTGAAGCTTATGGAGTTTCGTTTTTGATGGTGTATAAATCTGGTCACATCCTACTTGTTTTCTGTGATGAGCTTGGACATGTTCTGTCATGAGCCACGCAGGTTTGCATGAAACGTTGAGTGTAGACTTTAGTCATTGTGCTGATTTAGCTGCAGTTAGGTTATGTCCACTGATATTTTTTATAATATTAGCAGTGATTTACATTGCTGTTGTCATAAAAACTTGCTGACAGTAATAACCTTCTTAAATCTGATTTTATTGTAACTTTCTCTTTTACATATGTTTAGTGTAACCAGTTTAGCCGCTACACTTAACTGTTATGGTTTAATCGGCGTACACTCTCACCATTTGCCTGGAGGGCTGAGGCAGAGGTCAGGAGATCTCAGTTAGGGCAGCAGATATCCCAGCCAAGATTCAAACTGAGCACTCCCAGATAGAAGTCAAGAGCATTGAAACTATGCAAACTTGTTTGATAAGCAATGTGTTTGGTGAAATGGCTAAAAATGCAACCACAGGAGCATTTACTGTGGAATTTTATGCCTCCTCTTAATTTATTATCTCCAAAATAATTTTCTAGGTGCATTAATTGAAAATTATCGAGAGCCAGGGTATATTCTGTATGTCCTTCCTGCATACAGTGATACTTATGTAGCTTTCATGGAAACTGAATATTAATACTATATTTTTTTAGGTTACCACTTCTCAGTATACTAAATCACAAATGCTGTAGTCAGGAAAACGTAACATAACCAAAATGAGCTTAGGAAACAGTAATTTATAACAGCTTATAAGAATCATTGAGGTTTACAGACAGACTTGAATGTTCACACATTTTATGTAACTGCAGCAATTTAACATATAGTTTGTCTTAACATTTATGTTTTGAAAGTTTCTGGTTAATCATAAACTCCATTAGGGTTATGGTCTTCTTGGGATTTGATGTGATGTAGTTCAGTGTGTATATCAAAATGTTTCATAGGAACGTACTGCATCCATCTTCAGGATCAGACTTATGCCCTGAAGATGGAGGCAGTATAGTCCTCCAAAACAGTACCTCAGCTGTAAGATTACATGACACACACATCCCAAAAGCGAGTAGTCTTCATGAAATGTGCAGTTCGTGTCTCTTGTTGAATTATAGTCTCTGATTCAGTTTGTGATGCTGTTCAGTGTGAGTAAGGTTTACATGGCTTTTCCACTTGTTACTGCAGAATGTGATCATGTTTGCCATAACTGATCCGGGAACATTCCGCTGAGGGAGAATGAGATTCAGGTTCACTTCCCATTTGAGATGATGGAAGTTTTCAGTCAAACGCAGAATTAAACATCACATTTTCATGTAGTTGTCGATTTTTCAGACATTATGCATTGTCCCATTTTTCATTTAAAATGAAATGGATTCTGTCTCCAAAACATTATGTTCTAAAGAGAAAATGGGGTCATGCATAATGTCCGAATCTCAATAATTGTGTACTTTCGTCAGAAATTTTCAGTTTGCTTTTATAATATTTCAGATGGAGTTACCTTCTGTACCTCATATTCACTTACTATGTGGCCAGTCCAAAAGAAGTGCCATTGTGGGACACTGTGAAGCTCGTTGTAGTAATATTTCAGAATACAGCAGTTTTAGAGGTATGTAAAATTTTTACTACTCCTTCAAGTGTGATGTTTTGCACAAGCTCCTGCATAGTTAGACTTGAAGGGATTCTGACGATGGTGTATACTGTACAGAACTATTAGGCTTATTTTGGACTCTATCCATCGTCTGGTGTATATAAGACAAAAAGACCACAATGTTTTGGAGACCGGGTTTGTGTTTTTTCATCTTCTATATACCAGACAATGGATAGACTCCAAAATAAGCCTAATAGTTCTGTACCTGCATAGTTACTAGTTTATCAAGAAATTCTTGAAGATTTATCACATAGTCCAATTGAAGGCTACCTCATCCTGTTTCACATCTTCATAATTATTAATCTTATGTCCATTTTAATCATTTTAGTCCAATCTATGTATCAGTGCCCAACGTTTTTACTTTTATTGAGGGTTCCAGTCAAAATTTTGTATGTCTTATTTCTTTCTTACTTGTCTTACCCAGTTCGCCCTTCTTGACATATTCATGTACAGCTTATGTGTCCTGTTGTTATTGTTGATAGTGTCTTTTAGCATTATGCATTGTTCCTAGTACTTTGTTCTGAAATGTCCTTGAGCTGAGCCCTCGCTACTCTGTGTATGTGTGAAGTGCATTATTCTTCAAGGCTATGTTTAGAAGGTGGAGTGAGGATAGTGTAGTCGGTATAGTGACTGGCTATGGGCTGGATGATTGAGGAGTCAGGGTTTGAGTCCCAGTAGAATAAAAAAATTTCTGTTCTCCACGTTGTCCAGACTGACTCTGGGACCCAGCCAGCCTCCTATCCAATGGGTACCAATGGCTCTTTCCCCGGGGGTAAAGCGGCAGAGGCTCAAAGCTGACCACTCACCTCCAACTAGTGCCGAGGTCAAGAAAGTGTGGATTTATAAATCTACTCCCCCATATGCCTTCATGGCAAGTCCAACAGTGAGGGGCTTCTCTTGTGATTCCTAAGTGGGATTTTACTTTTCTTATTAGACTTTAATAAATACTGATTTGAATCACAGTAAGTTCCCATTGAAGCAGAATGCTCTGTGACATAACCTCAGCTTCCTAATGCCACCTGCCACTGGGGTATACCAAACTGCATGGGGTTATATCCCAGATGAGAGTAATGTTCACATTCTGTGTTTAGTTGGGTCACTAGAAGACTGACACTTGTTCCAGATCCTCCATGCTGCCACCAAGCTCGTTCCATCAAACGTGCTCATCACGGTGTTCCAGGTGTTCTCACGTGTTCTTGTGGTGTGTGGTGTGCTGTTGGCAACCCCAACGGGTCCAACCAGCCCAGGTCTTCCTCTTGCTCTGGTTGCGTGGTCTATAACCGAGGTGGTACGATACCTCTACTATGCCCTGAACCTATTGGGTACAGTGCCATACCTCCTGGTGTGGTGTCGGTGAGTGACGCAGACTCATGATGTTGGTCTCGCTCACTGCTAGTTGATTACTGTCACAGTGAAATCCCAAATTACTGTTCCATATTGAGTGAAATCGTGTGTTTAGTGAACATTTGTTATGGTCCCAGCCAAGGCCCATTGTAGCGAATGTCTTTGTCTCTCATATGACTGGATTTTGAGTTAATAATTTTATTGCACTTCCAGTTATCTATGGTAAGGAAGGGAGAAGGCCACATGAATGCTGAAAAACATGGGGGCTGTGGTTTGGGATTGTAAGCATTGGAAATTATGCTGTTGAAGATCACGCCCTTGTGAGGATAAATTACATCTACATGTGCTCTAGACCAGTAATGTTTGTTTATGTGCACAGGTACACACTGTTCATCGCACTGTACCCTATTGGAGTGACGGGTGAGCTTCTGTGCTTGTACGCAGCACAGGCATATGTAGCCCAGAAGAAGCTGTGGAGTCTGGAGATGCCAAACGCACTGAATCTCACTTTCAGCTATCACTATTTCCTGCTCTTCATAATGTTCTTGTACATCCCATGTAAGTTTCAATGTTCCAGGGTGCTCTGAATATCTTTGATGAAGACATTAACAATATTAAGCACATCTTTGGTTACCATGATTCATATTGGTTACTGTAGTTACTGAATTTCAGAAGTGGCAGTTATGTTGCTTTCACCTCATAAGTTTGCAAGTTTGCCATGTTATTATTGCAAGACATAAAGAGGTATGAGTTTTGGGCATCCTCCAAGGACATGTGGGATTTCATGAAATTACATCTGCTGATTCAGTGGACTGATCGGGTTGGTCTGGCAGGAACACTCTAAACGGGGGGGGGTGTTCGGTTTGAATGTCAGCCAGTACATGAGCCATGCTGACTTACGTTCAGGCACGCGCCATAGCTCACGCGGTTAGTCGCTGGCTTCCCACCGCGGCAGCCTGGGTTTGATCCCGGGTCTGGTCAAGTGGAATTTGTGGTGGACAAAGTGGCGCTGGGGCGGGTTTTCTTCAAGTACTTCGGTTTCCCCTGCCAATCTTCATTCCATCAAATTCTCCACCATCATAATCACCTGTAGTAGGCTACAATAGGCCAATTAGTGGCTGCCATGCCGAGTGGACCCAGTTGGACTCCACCTCCACTAAGTGAATTTAAATTTTTTAGGTTCAGGCAGATGCCAATGCCATGACTACTTTCAAATCCCTTCTAGTTCCTCTTTCATCCTACCATTCAGGGCTGTGTATAGTCTGTGATGCATGGAGTGTCAGAATGAATCAGCAAAAGAGCAAGCAGTAGACGGACGTGTTGTTTTTATGCTTATCATGCAAAGAGCACACAGAATCTGGGTGGTTAGTGGAATGATGTTTGTGGAGCAATCACGTTTCGATGGCCTGTATCAGAGGGAAACAAAATATATGTAAATACATCATAGTAAAACTTGGAGACCTGGATATAGGTCTGAAATAAAATCATCAGTGTGTGTTACAGTCTGTGACAAGAGGGGTTTGTAGTAAAGTTCCACCCATTTTTAACCTTGGCACTAGTTGGAGGTGCGGGAGCTCTGAAAGCTGGTCTGGATACAGTGGCAAAATGTGAAATGCCTGCACCTCGTTGGGGACTTGACTGTAGCCATCTATCCACTTACTGCACCACTGAGCTATCCAAGTACCAACACTTGGAACAGCATTGTCTCAAGGGAATAGGTTTTGATGATTGTGGTGAAGATGATAGGAAATCACTTGATGAACTCAGTAACTGTCAGCTTTTCAATAGGTGCTGTATTATGGGTTTATCCATATACTGGAAACTGCCCCTGGTCTGACGTGGGGTATGGAGTCTGCCCGTCACATGACAAAGGCTGTCACAGGAACTGAATACAGTCATAGCAAGAAGTCTTCACTTTAGTTCTTGCATGTGTGTTTTCATATGTGCCAGTGGATTGATGGGCAAAAGATTTCAAATGCCTGTACTATATAAAATAGGATGACAAGTTCAACCAGCCTATGTGTCCTGTGATGGGACCCGCAAGAGAGATGACAGTGGGTAGCACTGCTAGTGGCAGTTGGGAGAACTACCAGATGGCAGATGAACATATGCATGTCACAGATTTATTTTTGAACAACTTTATAAAAATAGTAAAATATTCACCAGTTAGAGGAGAATTCTGGGTGCTTTGATACCAGATAACTGGCACTTTACTGCATGTAACAAAGGCTAGGGCTTCCTGTTATGTGATTATGTATGTCTGTTAACAGAGTTGGTAGTAGTTATGGATAGGAATATCAGAGGACAGTAAACACTTACTATTCTCTTGTTACAAGTTTGTAGCAGGCAACAGCAGAGATGGTAGTAGTTACAGATAGAAACAGGAGATGACATAGTTGGCAGCAGTTCTGAATAGGCACTAAAAATGGAAGGGGAAAATGGCGGTGGAAGGTACTTAACGCTTCAGCTGGTATTGCAGTCTCAATCTTTGCTAGAGAGAAGTTTCTCATAGATAGGAGCGCCATGTATTCTATCAGCATATTTACTGAAACTGTGATTTCAGAGTCACTCAAGGGCTGTAGTATGTAGGGGTGGGTTAGTGGGGGCTGTAGCAGGTATTGGGAATTGTCGGATTTCCCCACTGACATTTTAACAGGTTTTATCCTATGTTGGACTTGAGGTTCTCACTTCTGGGATATAATGCTGTGTAGTCCACTGAAAATCAACCATTGTTTCATCGAAACATGTTGCCTCCATCTTCAGGGTTGAAGAGTAAGCCAAGCAGGAAACCAGCATGTTGATATTCAACGTACTACGCAACGTTATATCCCAGGAGATAGAACTCTTCAGACTTCATACTAGTTAAGAGTTTTGTGTGTGTGCTTACAGATTGCCATGGTGTGAAATGCTGTTTTCTCTGTCTGTTGCAGTGTTTCCTCAGATGTACCTCCACATGTTTGCGCAGCGCCGGAAAGTGATCACAGATGGCACAAGCAAAAAAGTCAAGTGATTCCTTTCATGATATGTTTAACCACAGACTTTTGTAGGGAAATTAAAATTTCTCCTGCATATACTGTGTCTAAAATTGTCACACAAGAGAGACTGTTGAACACTGAAGACATTTCTTCCAGTTGCCTGTTCAAGGTATGACGTACCATCAGAGATGTTTTAGACAAAGTATAACACTGTGGTGTTTTTTTAAAAATTTACATATCAGATTCCAAAGAATTCTATACATGCTATACTATTTTGATTTATGTTTCCACATTCACCACTCAGGACCAGAAACTGGGTCCATTATAATTGGAGCCAGGTCCTTCTAACTGGTCCAGCTGATGATGAAACCAGGTTCAGTTTCTGAAACATTCTGTATGTTATGTATACCCCAGACAGTGGACATTGTCTATAATATTTGTGCAATGAATCAGCCTCTGTCACAAGCCTGTAAAGAATGTGTTCGATTTCATGTTCCCTTACTTGGTACTGTCCATGTTTTAGACCTGACCATTTTTACCACAGCGAGCACTGGATTTGGTCAAGTCCACTAATTGAGGTAAGGACTGTGAGGTGTGTGTGGGTTATGACATGGCCCTACAGCAAGTAACCCTACCTCCCTTCTACAATATGGATGTAACCACTGCCCCACTACTTTCTGCCAAACTTCTCCTCACATGCAACTCAGAGGTAATGTCTAGAAGCATGTATGTCTCGAAGAAAGCAGTCTTCTGGGATTTGGCACCGTGTATATGTGGTGTTAACTGATGTTTCGGAGGAACGTATCGCCCCCATCTTCAGGGTAGAAGAAAAAGATGGGGGCGATACATTCCTCCGAAACGTCGGTTAACACCACGTATACACGGTGCCAAATCCCAGAAGACTGCTTTCTTCATAGTCACCGCCGTGAAAGCCTCAAATCTTACACGTATGTCTCGTTTGGTAGTTGGCATGTTACCTCAAGGAAGTTGCCTCACATCCAGTTGATGAGGCATTATTGAGGGATTAGTAAGTAAAATAGTTATTCTCGCAAGAAAAAAGAAAAATGATTGATGTTAAGAAATTACTCATTTATGGTTTAGAACACAGCAAGGCAGATGGTGCTTTTGTGACTGATCAACCAGCCAAATGTTCAAATATGGCAATATCCCAGACTAATTCTGTCATGCATTACTGCATGTGACAGGTGGTGTTACTTGGCGAGTGGACAGCAGTACTCTGCTAACTCGCGACATAAAGCCGAGGGAGGGAGGGTGAGAGCTGTGGCAATAAGACACAAAAGAGATGGGGAAAGAACATGAGAGAAAGGAGAGGAGATGCAAGTGTGAATGAATGTCTGTAAGAGTTCATGTTGAATTTGCAACATGCATTATACAAGCATGTTTATACATGGTGAGTCATCATGTTCTACACACATAGGCAAGCAGAAATGGTTATATAAATATACGGTTGCAACTGCTTCACGAGCAAGATATTGCAACAGGAAGCAAGAGGAAAGACAAGTAGACAACATAGTTGTGGATAAAGAGTTTGTTATCTGTGAACAGTCCACCATTAAATCAGTGCTTAACTGAGCCCTGCTCAGGAATGGTGCCTGTTATCATCCCAGCTTCTTCATCATTCCTCAGGACGCCCTACATGAACAGTGCTCTTCACATGGCAGGAAGTGAGATCAGGTGATCGCAGAGGCCACACGACTGGTCTCTGTGAACAGTAGTGACCTTGTACAAGTCTATAGACAAAGATTCTTCATCCATTTGTGGTGATGCCTCACTAATGTTACCATCTGTTTATGTGAACACAACTCTTATGCTTAAGCTTGTGTACATAAAGACTGACAGCGTTCTTACAGCCATAGCAAGCACTGCTCTGTGGTGATGATACCAGTGTTTGCAGTTGTACAAACCTTGCAAGTTTCCCAGCTGCTTGTAACTGATCCCCAAAACTGTAGCAGTATAATATGAGATATGTTCAAGTGTTTCAGAGATCTTGTACTAATGTGGTGGTTGCTGTACATTTCATACTTTTATACATTTAAATGTGGTATTGTGCGTCTTGTGCAGTATAGGGGTTCTTATGTGCAATATTATTATGTATTGTTATAGTAACATTCCTTTTTTGTTTTATTGTTTTCAAAAATAAATATTCATGTTATGGAGGTAGTGGACCCCCCTCTATTTTACATTACACCATAATGTTTTCAACCCTCACTGAAATTCCTTTCCAGTGGTGCATTATAGCCTGGCCAAAAATGGTACCAGAGTGAAATTCAGGTACTGTCTTCTCTTATAGAGTTACTAATGTTTTGGAGGAGTAACCTAATATGGGGTAGCAAGTTTCTCTGAAATGTCAGTATCTACCAATTTAAAAAGTGTCGCATATCAGAAGGAGATAAACTCAGTATCACTGCTGTGAAACCCCTCAGATATCAAAATATTTTTACTTTTTTAGTTGTATTTCGCCTGACTATCTATTATGGAACTCAGCTGTTTTCCTGTTTCCTTAGTTTGTTCAGTTAACTGGTATGATAAGACACTGAGATAGGGTAACACCATCTTTCCAATTTGCCATTCTGTTGTCTTCACATTTCAAAGATTACTGTCTTCTAAGACGTTACACTGTAATCTGTAGTTCATTATGAACATTTATGGGGAATTTGCTGCCCCCATCTTCAAATTATAAATTTTTCTCTTCTGTCCTAAAATAGGATGCAGCTGACTGAAAGGTTTGTAATGATTACCAGACTACATGCCATCAGAACCTAGAAGTCTTCAAAATCATTGCCACTTGAATATCATATTTCACATTGTGACTCCTTTTAGCAGTCCTACAAAGAATGACTCTTGTAGATTGCAGGTTAACTGAGAGCTCTGGAAGCATTAGGAGGGGAAATAGGAAATGAAACAGAGACAATATTTGACTGAATGTTCAGAAGAAATCAAGATTTATTAAGCTGGTCATGTTATGCAAATTCGAAAGGCCAATACTGAGCTACAGGCAGTGAAATACCAAAACTGAGGGAGGCACAGATGAGGTATGTGTGAAAGTAGTTTTGCAAAATGTCAGCGGGGAATTTGAGGTTCTCATAGCAGTGACCATGTATGGCAGAAGTTCACCTATGTTTCAGAGGACTCTTCAGGATCAAAGAACTGGCCAAGCAAAGGCAGTTTTCCACCCATTTCTGGCATGGCTTACCCTTTGTGGAGATGCAGCCTGTACTTCCTCTCAAAAAGTGTTTCCCAATTAATTTGACCATGGAACCCTTTTGTGCTCAAAAAATGTTTATAGAACCCCTTAATTGTTACATATGAAGCTAAAAAGCTACACACAAACAGGTAAGAACAAAAGAAATGTTATACAAAAACCTGACATCACCATTACTTAACACTGCATTCCATGGATGTGAAAAATTAAGCTTAGAATGACATATTTGCAGTTCTCAATGCAGAGACTGTCTTTACATTCAGCTTGAGAGTAGAAGGTTGAATTCTCACACTATTTGTGGAGTTTTCTTGCTGCACAATTCAAGAATCGGTTTCACTCAAGTATGTGTTGCCAAGGGTATCAGCTGACATACTGAATGTCTTGATAAGCTTTTCTCCCAGGCATAAACACACTTTATTAATTTCTTCCTTTGAAAGTCAACCATCTACAATTTAGAGAAGCTCCGAAATGAAAAACCTATGCAAACTTCATAATAATATTCCAATTATTTTTATGTTGTAATGCAATTTTCTTGCAGAACCCTTATTTTCACTTCACAGAACACCATTTTGGAAATGTGCTGAAACACTGGCAAACTTATATGCATGAAACCTAATCACATCCCAAAAGTCAGTACCCTCCAAACACTAAATTTCATACTCATTTATGTGGCTTCACCTTTCAGAAATATGCTGCATAGGCCGCTGGTTTTCATGTGTTTTGGTAAACCCTGCAGTTCCTATCTTCTGGGTTAGTGACCCGGGTGGGAGTTTGGCAACTGAAATTTTTTGAAAGCCAAAGCCACCCATCAGTCTGTAGCCATGGAAACCTAAGACTAATATTCATCAGAATTTCACAAATACCTTCAGAACTGTTCTGTTTATAACATGCTGAAGATTAAATAATAAATTACTGTATAATGAAGTAAACAGAAGAAATACAAATTAAAACATGTTTTTATTTCAGAGTTTGCATAAATATACGAAACAAAGAATCACATTTACTGTCCATCTCCAGTTGGCATTGATCGAATAATGTCTGAATCTCCAGGATCAGTGATTGACAGTGTACAAACACGGAAATATTTTCCACAAGCTGTTCCAAGCTCGATATTGTTCCCAGAGTAATGGTGCACTCCAGTCTTTGCCAACATTGCATAGTATTCAATCTCTGACTTTCTGTGAAAGAGGAATGGTTTGCAATTAGTTAATCGGGTCTTACTGTAAATAGATTTATTAAAACCTGGAACTAAGCAGGCAACATCTACCCCATTTCCGGCCCTGATATTAACACCAACGGATCAAAAACACAGAACTTGAAGTATGCCATCACTCAATCTAACCCCTTCATCCTCCTGAAATTGGCTGGTTTATGAATATGTTGAAACTGCCTCACTTGACCAAGGCCAGATAGTAACATGCCATGGTATGACCACACGCTTCTCACTCAGAATAGATGTTGCTGTAGCTATAATTTTAGGCACCTCGAGTAGGCACAACCTTATGTACGAAAAGTCCTGCACATTCAACGAGATCTTCAGTATGATCTTGACTGTTGAAAATAGACTACTAACTTCTGGATGAAGATGTAACAATGTATGTCACTATCTAATGACTATGCAGAAACATTTTAGACTACTACTGATGATGCATGTATCAATCTCTTCTAACTGTAAATGTATATACATTACTTGCAATTTGTTTCTTTGGAGTGAAATACTACAAACCACTAGCGAATCATGACAAGCGGCTGGCCTTAAGGGGCATACATAGAATTCTGACTTCCAATAATGGTATAGCACTTAACCCAATAGTCATAATTACTTCCCTATAATAAATGAATGTTTTCTCATTACTTACACACCTTGGTACTAATGAGAACTTCATTAATTATTCATTGCTTAGGCCATAATTTGCAGTAGTTTCAGTTAATACAAGCCTAATTATTTCAACCAAGCACTGTAGTCAAGACTACTCCATAGGATTCCCTGACTAGTAAAATACTTCCTTTCTTTACAGGGAAGCCTACTTCTCAGTCTCACCTCAGTGGAGGAGTGTTGTTAGCAATGATGACAAGCTTGGCTTTGCCCTGTCTCAGTGACTTCAAAGTCTGCTTAAGTCCAAGTACATACTTCCCAGACTTCATCACCAGAGCTAACCGGGAGTTTATACTCTCCATCGCCTTTTTCTGAAATATTATGGAAAACATTCGTTATTAAACACTTAAAGGAATATTATAAAAAGAACATGTGTTCGGAAACAAATAATTTCAAAAGCCACGTGCCAAACACTAACCTGCTTCTTTTGAGCGACCATTTTTATGTTGTGCTACCTTCTGTGATACGAATAACGTTACCTGCAATAAAAATGATACGACTTTAATAAATCAATTTATGCATTTTCTTCTACATTAAATTGCATGTACTATAAGATCAAACGTAGAACTCCAACCTCAAAACCAAACCACCTCTTCGAGTAACCGGAAGGTAAAAGAAGCTGACTATCGGAATAAGGGACACGGGTGTATTCGATTATTCTATAGCTATGTGAAGAGATGTAAGCCTTATGTGTGTGCCGGGTAACAAGTTTGGAATCTTTACTCTGTAACCGACGTTCTTAGGAATTAACATTTCCAACTTAAATTTATAACAAACCAGGGTAATAACGCAATCTGAAAATTTTATTAATAATAGCATTCTGCTACTTAATATAGTTTTAGTAAATTCAGTTCAACAATGATGTGAATTGTATTTCTGAACGTATTGGATTTAATGACGTACCCAAAATATTTGCGCTTGCGTATGCACTGAAGTTCTCGGAGTTGGGTTCAGCCGCCATTGTTTCCCCATGAAGTGATCAGTGTCTCGAGTTTTGTATATTTTAGAAGTTGATTGTGTATACGCCACTGATTGGACTATCAAACACTCGAACGTAATTTATTGACAGTTCAGTTTAAAAGACTTTGCGCGAAGAAAGAAGAAGAGTGCATAAATTAGGTGATGTCTGCAGGCGTGTCAGACCAGGTAGGGAAAGAATTAGTCTTGGGCGTAGTTGTGTTAAGTGCACTTTTTTAAATATATAGAAGTGTTTTTCGTCTCACCAGTAGCTTATCCTACCTTTAATCTCTTTTTCATGTTGCCCTGTACATGACAATGCAGCGGATGAAAGGACAAGGGAATCAAGGTAAGCAGAAATAACAAAAGCACATGCTGTCAGATGAACTGACTTTCTTAAAATCACATCTGAATGATAATATCCGGGTATTAAATTACCAGTATTAAAATAGTTCCGATATATTGCCAGAGTTATTGGAACAGATTTGGTGGAAAATAGTTGGTTCTAGAAACCCATACAGTTTAGTATGCTTTGTTGTGGGTGATGTATGCCACTATTTCAAAGTATTTTAATTTAATCTCATGTATTGGTTAGATTTCGTGCTACGTGTAGGAGTAGAGGATATATTTTTTATTACTATTGTGGCTGCTTTCACTTGCTCATAATTTTCAGCTACGTACAGGCCATTGTTGATGGTTAGGTTCATTCATTTGACCTTGGAGTATATAGTGAAGTTAATCATCATTGTCACTGCTTTCAGTGACAAATGGCCCAAAGGACCACGTAGGTGAACATGAGGATTTTGATTCATGGAGGACCCAACATCATCAGGTAATACATAAATACCTGCGAACACTTGGTCAGTGCAGTTTGGTGATCGGCATGTACAAAGTGCAAGTGGTTTGTATTGTACAGTCTGATAGTGAGCATAACAAATTCAGATATTTACATTATTCTAACTTCTTTATGTTCTGACAATGCATCAATAAAATTTGTTGATTGTGTATTCATAGCATTCACATGTCATCATTTGGATTTGATGACACGTTCATTTGACAGAAGTTTGGAAGTACCTTCTTGTTATAGTGACTATATATATAGCCCTGTATTTGAGGTTTATTTACCCTTTGAAGAATTAATATAAAATGATGACCTACCCATCGAATTCTTATTTTGAGGTTATATTTATACTCCTCTCTGTTTTGCTACACTGCTGAAATAGTGTTTCCTTCTGTCCTGTTGTACTATGTTGACTTGTCACTGCATAATCTGGATGCTCACAAGATTGTAGGTCCCAATACAAGCCATTTTTAAATGTAAGTGGTCACCAGGTTATAAAACTTTATCTGAGTGTATTGATGTAATTTATTTGGAATTTGGTTTATTCTGTCTCACCTAAAATCAAACAAAGATAGTACTTGTTGTGTGCACCAAGTTTATACCACAAAATACATTATAAAGTAAATAGTAAATTCCTGTTTCATTCTAATGTGTCCATAACCGACTGAGGCCATAGTTTTACAGCAGAAGTTGGGTTGACAGGTATCTTATGAGAACAGTTGAGTGTTTGTGCCTAAGCTCTGCATGATGTTACATTAGCTGTCTTTATAACAGTGTGCAGTGCATTTACGTATGTTGTTGCTTTAGATAGTTCCATTGCTTTGGCAGGGTTACAACACCCCCATCTCGACGTCGATGGCTTCGGATCCGTACAGCATGTCAAACTACTATGGAACATCCTTCCCTTATCAGGCATTTGGTGTAGGAGATGGGACATGGTCAAATGGAGGCGATCCCATGACTTTCCTGGGCGGATATGGGGGACAAATAGGACACGACTCTTATGGCATGGATGGGATGTTTGGGGGAGGGGGTGGTGGCTTTGGAACAGCATTTGGACAGCCAGCAGCAGCTGCTGCTGCTGCCGCAGCAGGTTTCAATTATTTCCATGGAAATGGTGATTATTCGACATGGGGCAACTCTGCCGCCATGTCTAGGAAACCCCATTATGATGACTACTATCGAGGTGGAGATGGGATGTATGGTGCGGCAGCTGGCGTGGGCAGCTCAGCAGGTGGGGGAGTGGACGGGCTTAAAGCAGTGGAGCAGGGCATGCAGGGATTGGGACTGTCAGATGTGGCTGGTGGGAATGGGGGAGTGACTCAGGGGGTGATGAAAGTAGTGGATGGTAAAGACTTGTCTAAACAGCAGCAGGATGTGCCTGGGGGCAGCAAGATAAGTGGCATGGACACGGGGGTTGGTGTGGGTGGGGGGATGGTGGCGGTGCAGACCAATGTTGCACCGGCCCCTCCACCACCCAAGAAGATGACATGGGCATCCATTGCAAGTCAGCCTGCAAAACCACAGCCCCAAGTGACTTCAAGCGGTATGAAGAAGAAGGGCCCAGGCATGCCTCCTCCACCCATGGTGCCTGGCAAACACAATATGGACATCGGAACCTGGGAAGGAAAGAATGGAGGTGCCAACTCGATCAGTGGGCCTAAACAGCCTGTCGGCCCTCCTCCCACAGCAAGGCCCACTTGGAGTGGTCCAGTGAGAGGGGGTGGGCCAAGAGGGACAGGGGGCCCTCCAGGGGGTGGAGCAGGTGGATATCCTCCTGCAGGAGCTCCGCCACATCACCACCCAAGTCATCATCCTGGTCAGGTGACCATTCTTACAGGACCACATCATCCTCATCACCCCCATCACCCTCAAGGGAGTGGGACTGGGGCACCTCCCCCACATCATCTGCAGCAGCAGCCCCCTGGCCCTCACCCTGGCAATGTAATGGTTCCCACGCCATTACCCTCCCATCCTGTGCTTGATGAACTTCGTGTCAAGAACAATTACAACCCACCAGACTTTGACTTGTCAGCCAAAGGGGCACGCTTCTTTGTGATAAAGTCTTACTCAGAGGATGATATCCATCGTTCCATCAAGTATGACATCTGGTGCTCAACTGAGCATGGCAACAAGAGGCTGGATCAGGCGTTCCGAGAATGCGAAACTAAAGGTGGTGGGGGCCCTGTTTACCTCTTCTTCTCTGTGAATGGGTCAGGACATTTCTGTGGAATGGCACAGATGGTGTCGCCAGTGGACTACCATGCCTCAAGCTCGGTCTGGTCTCAAGACAAGTGGAAGGGACAATTCCGCGTACGCTGGATTTATGTCAAGGATGTCCCGAATGTTCAGCTGCGGCACATCAGGCTTGAAAACAATGAGAACAAACCTGTGACTAATTCGCGGGACACGCAGGAAGTGCCGTTTGAAAAGGGAAAGCAAGTACTTCGTATTCTTCATGGGTATCGCCACTCCACTTCGATATTTGATGACTTTGTACATTATGAGAAACGTCAGGAGGAGGAAGATAGCCGTAAAGTGGTGCCAGATGTGGGCGGTCCTGGAGGAGGTCGGGGTGGAGCCCCCCCACAACAAGGACAGCAGTCCAGTGGTGGTCCAGGCTCTGGTGGTGGGGAAAGAGGAGGCAGTCATCATGGGACAGGAATGCCACCACAACAGAAGGTAAAGACACTTAATGAAGTTGATAGTTTTGTAGAGAGCAGCACTGCAGTATGGCTGCTGTTTTTTTTTCTTTGTGTTGCAAGATAGTTTGATTTTAAGAAATAATTCATCTCTGATATATTTGATAAAGAGAAATTCTGAAGTTCATCTTTGGTGACAGAATGGGCAACTTCAGTGTCGGTGTCAAAATTCTGGCTTGTATTCATTCAGTTCAACCTTGTGGGGTAGTTTTCAAGTTTGCAGCTCATGCAGCGCCTTTAGTAATTAAAGTATACAGATTTGTAACATGTTTATTTGAATACAAAATTACCCAGTAATTAATAATGTGTACAATCAGAGGCCGAAAAATAAAAAAGAAATTGAGTTGTCTTGGGTGCCATACAGTTATAATGTTGTGCTTTTTCTCTGTAACACACTTTTGCTCACCAGATCCTTGTAATATCTAACGAGATGTTTCTGAGGTATGTCATACCTTGAGTTTGTAGCCTTACAGACTTCAACAAAGTCTCCACTGTGGCTGTTTTGGAGCCAGTCTTATACCAGAAACAAAATTTGTTAATTTCTTAATGCTGGCAAAATTTTCTACATCACTGTCGATGATGATGCAACCATAAAGATGTTTGCAAACCTAGAGTAATATACCTCCCCCCACTTTTGCATTTGCAATGATGTAAATCACAGAAGTGCTTCATTATGTCTGTCTGTACAGCTGTTTGCAAGTAAGACCTCCGTAATTGCTGAACATATGAAATTTGATATTGAGGAGTTTAACTGAAGTTTCGTAACACATCCCAGTTAAAATAGCCAGCCAATTTCAGATATGTTTATGAAGTTTAGGTGTGACGTGAACTATAAAAAGAAAATATTCTTGTAGTTTAGAATTGATGTTCACTGTGACAAACATTTTGATGCATTTTATCTTCAGTGGGTGATAGCACATGTATTACTTTGTGTCCTTCATTGTTGCCAACTTGAAAGAGTGATATGTTAGTGTGTTTTCTATAGTGACTGGAAGTATTGGTATGTCTGTCAGTATATAGAGCATATAGTGTTGACTGGTTGCGTGAGCAGCTAGCAGTGGTAACCCATCTCTCACATTTGTCTTCTTTTGGTAGCATCAACATCTGCGACCAAGGTCAGTGTTTTGGAGATGGACATGAAAGAAAGTAATGCAGTAAATATTCCGAGTGAGTGCAGCGGTTTGGTGTTGTAAATAAAAAATGAAAGGAGCATGAAGCATTGCCCTGTTTATTTACTCTATACACAGTTTAGAATGCAGAAGTACATGATTTTATTTTGAATGGTCTTTTCATTGTTACTGCCTGAGAGGGATCAGTGACAATGTATTTTGTTTCTCAAACATTTGTGATTACTGAATTTTCCCTCACATACTCAAACTTGCCAATGGGAAAAGCGTTCACATTTGGAAAACAATACATAGTCACAGTGCTTGGTATGTAAGAGTGCAAAGATTGTAGCCAGATGGCCTGTCACTCAGCTGTGCTGGTATCTCAATATGCCAGATTTTGTTGAACTTGTTACCTCCCGCCTAGATCTCTCATATCCATAAGTTTGTACAGCTGTGATATTATTGACATCCAGACCGTAACAGTGAACTTCCAGTCACAAGCAGACTATAAGAATTTGTTTAGCTTTCCGAAGAATGTGTGACGTTCCCTAGTGAGATGAAAATGGTGCGATGGACTTTGGACAAATGGCAGAGTAGAGTTCATTGGTGGTTATAATAGCAGTATTTCAAAGGAAAACTGAGACAGTGGATTCTTTGGAAATATTGGTAAAGTAAGTAAAGGTATCCCTGTAACAGGCTGTGGAGGCCCATAGGTTTGTGAGATGTTGAGGTTCCCACATTGTTTAGACAATCGGCTCATAGATGGCAGCAAGATTGTCAGCCTTTCGTGCTGGCCACCCTTTACCCCCAAGAATGTTCCTCATACTCATTTTTATTAGAGACTGAGTCGACCCGAGGGCCATAGTGCGGCTGGAAGGATTAGGTCAATTGGAAAAGTCCAATGACCTCATTGGGACTTGAACCCCTGACCTACTGGCTTGTAGCATAGTGCCTCAACCAACTATGCTACTCCCTGCCCCCTGGAAATATTGGTACTGTCTGCTAAAATGTGCCAGAAGAGAGACCCTTGTGCTACGAAAGGCATGAATTTTATGGTCCCTTCAGGAATGGAACATTTCAGTGGAGAAATCATACGAATGTGCAGATTGTAGCCTTAGATAGGAACAGGGTTAGCTCAGTCATTATAGTAACTTGCTGCAGGCTTCATGGTTAGGCATCAATTCACAAGAGGGGAAGAGAATTTTGACTTCATCACAGCGCACACTTGTTCTGTGTTTGAACCCCTGTCCATTGGATTGCTGGGGACTTCCTCCAGTGATAAACTATCCAGTACTTGTGTGTGTGTGTGTGTGTTCTTGCATAAGGGGCAGTATAGTGTTCAGGCTATGGGCTGGGTGACCAGGAAATCAGGTTTCAGTTCCCAGGAGGATCAGAGATTTTTGCATCCATACACACTCAAGCCCACCAAACCTCTCTGTTGGGTACCAGGGACTCTTTCCTTGGGGTAAGTGGTTGTAGTGTAAAGCTGATGACACATCCCCATCTGTTGCTGAAGTTTCAGATGACTGAGCAACACCACAACTCTTCTGTATGTTCTCTAGGCATTCTGTTTAATAAAGTACAGGGAAGAGCAGGTCTGTCTTCATGGATGTACTACCATTTAGTCCGCCAAAAGTCAACGAGCCTATTAGAGGAACATGTTGCCTGCTTTGTCAGGGTTCAAGAATAAGCCAGGCAAGAAACCATCATGAAACAGGCAGCAAGCAGAGCTTGAACCCTGAAAATGGAGGGGACATGTTCCTCTGAGAAGTTGGTTGTCTTTAGTGGACTACACAGCCTTATGTTCCAGAAGATAGAATTCTTCATAATGAGTGTACCTTCCTTTAGTGAACGTATGTAAAGTGCTTACAAGGCAGAGTAAATGATGGATTTGTGATTCTCATGGCAGTGACCATGAGGAGGATTGTTTACTGGGGTGTGATGCCCTGCGGTCCATCACATCACACCACCTCTGCTGCCGAGGAACCCTCTCTCTCCGTCATCTGAAGACAGTGGCAGTGGGTTCCTCCGCAGTGCAGTAACTACGTGGCATTGTGAAGGGTCCCATCTTCCAGGATATAATGCCACGTATTCCGTTGAAAGTCAGCCGACATTTCAGAGACTCTTGTTGCCTCCATCTTCAGGGTTGAAGAATAAGCCAAGCAAGAAACCAGCATGAAGCAAGATGATAGTAATCTTCAAGGCAAAGCAACATTTATAATGCTAAATTGTGGGAAAGATATTATGAGAAGATTATATTCAGATTAAGTGTATGTTATATGTGAGATGGACGAGACTGAAACGTAACTCTTACATCCCTGCAATCTGATGAGATGATGCCGATATTAGATATACTTGTATGTTTGTGTTGCTCTGTTTCAGGAGCGTGATGGCGGTGGCAGGGGTCGAGGAAGGGGGGGAAGAAATTAACAAGGAGATCATCCCCCTTAGCTTACTTCAATTATATACCACATTATGTAACAGTTTTGATTTAAGGAATTCTGTACTAGAGGGTGAATTTTCTTCTTCATTATTATTATTTTTTTTTAATTTTGTTCTAGAAGAAACATGTGTATGGACTTTGTGTGTAGAGGAAAGGTGTTCTGAGAATTTGCATATTTACACATCTAACTAATGATTGTTTCCACTGTCACATTTCTGTAAGGATGAACTTGCCACTGTAAAACCTTGGAATCATTTTTGTGGCTGTTTCCTCAAGGTCATCTTTATGGAAGTGTGGTTTCCCTCGGATGCTATCCCACTCCCCCTCCCACCCATGTTGATTCCCACACTTTTTTAAATGTATGTAATGGTACCATCCTTTCTTTGCTTCTTGAGTCGTGGGTCACGTGCAGGCACGGTGTGTGAAGTATTTCTCCCTGCTAGGATAAATGCAATGGACATTAAGTATGGCACCAAGGAACCTTTATTTATTTAGAAAATTGAGTTTGAAAGTGTATTATTCAGTCATGTTTGGGAAGAGATCACTGTACTGCTTTTTTGTAGTTGCAGGATGAACTGAAATTTGTGACCACAGATTGCACTTTGCATCCACAGCTCTTCAGAGGAAGGGATATGCTGGCTGATATGCACAGTCTATGCATTTCTGTCGTATTTCAGTCCTAAAAGAGAAGCAGGTGAAATGATCTGCAAAAGAGAGTTGTAAAATGCTTTTGTAATCACCACTTACTAGCGGAGAGTACCTTTAGGACCTTATGTAAGCATCCAGGGGCCCTGAATGTGGTTCAGTTTCTGTTGGAATATATATGACTTAATGCCCAGGAATTCAATTTTAATGCTGAATTGTGTAACGATTTCACGCGCGAGCATGGCAGGGTGGAGCTGCATCAGACACCAACCCCCACAGAGCTGTAGATGCTGAGACGCATTACCTTTCCTGGTGTTTTACTGTTGCCAGAGTTGAAGCAAATGGCTGGTTCCAAAACATTATATATGTCTCAACATCCCAAAAAGTTGTCATTTGTATCTGTGTGCATTTTGAACTGTTGTAGCGCTAAATATTGAAGGGTACTACAAAAGGAAGAAATTTATTTCTGTAATGATGGCTTCTATACCTGCTCCGCAAGACAGGTAGATGGATACTTTGTACGTCATTTTCTCCATTATTCGGGCTACGTGCTGCATTTTAATGTTGTCTTACAGTACAACTGTTTGGCTCAACAGATTGTGGTAGATGCAGAAACCCCCCACTCCTTTCCCTCCATTTTTTTTAGTCTGCACACTTTATAAAGATTTGTGACAGTGTTGTGTGTTACAGATTTTCTTTCGGTAACTTGCTCTCCTCATGATCATATTTTCAAGAGGGCTGTGGTTCTAGTGACATTTCATACTGTTCGTTTGTGAACGCAATGAACAGAAATTCAAAAACTGGAGAAACAGTTTCTTAACAACAGAGTTTCTTCCTCAGATTTGAAGTTCTGGCTCCTTGACGTGTTCAGTAGCTGACAAGCTTTTTCTGCTTCAAAAGTGACATAAGGAGCAAGTTTCTGATAGCAGTTTATGCATTTTGCATACTCTGGCAGCTGGCCTGTAGAATAAACAAAAAATGTGGCATTGTCACCAGTATGTTGTTGCCTCTTATGGCGTCCTCCTTATGTTGTCTGCATCACATATTTTAAAAGTTCTTTTGTTCACAGTGCCACATTTTTGTTTTTCATAAACCAAAAGAGTGTTCAGGTTATGAAGAAATGTTTGCAGAATTTTGGATTTAAACCTGATACTTAGCATCATTGCCACTCCATGTACATTTTTCAGCTTTCCATACAAGTTCATAGGTATTATGATTCATATTACTGTGGACTGAGGTCCATAAGATAGTCATAGGTTTGTGAGTCGCTGTCATGACAGATTTACATGAGGTTTGAGCTTCATAGTGGTAAAAATCTAGACTGTGGTCTTCGAGATTATGGTGCCCCATAGTCTGATAGGTGGACACTGACATTTCAGAAGAACCTCTTACGCCAAGGTTGACAGCTTCTACTGTAGGTGAAGGCATGATCTTCTGAAATGTTGGTAACTGCACGCACGACTATACAGTGTCACAATTTAGAAGACCACAATCAAACGTGAGTCACATTCATGAGGTGTATATAGTTCTTGCAGCAATGGATGTTAAGGTATGGTCCTCTAAGGCGTGACACCATGTTGTTCGATAGAAAGTTAACAGATGTTTTGGAGAAACCTGCTATTATTTTCTTCTGGGTAAAAGAGTGAAGTTGAAGCAGGCAGTTTCCACTGAATGTTGGTATTTGTCTACCAAAATTACAAAATATAAAATGCTAGAAGTTAATCTCAGGTTAGGTTTGCTGTACAGTTTCTTTGCTTTCATACCTATGTTGCGATTTTGTTACCTGATTTAATCATGTCAGATGACACCCAATTACATGGCCCAAGTATGCATTATGAAACAGGGAAGGTGCTCTATGTTGTAAAGATGGTGGGCAGGCAATTTGACAGACATACAAGTGCTTGGGGTTTATTTTAAGGAGTTCTATGTTGTACTGTAATGTATTGATGTATGAACCTCTAATGCACTTGTATCGGGTACAGTGTGTTCTGCATGCCAAGTTCTGTTGACACAGGATGAGCAATGACTACACAAACCCCACCTTCCTTTGGTTCAGGTACGCTGATGTAGTAGTTGTGTATTATGTGACTCAGTCTTGTACACATAATTCTGTAGCACTTGGTCATTCACGGAAATTATTCTTGCAGCACCTAGTATTCGGCTTCAGTCATCCACAGCAGTAAGGATACTTCTCAGTTGTAGATCCAAGTGCATGAATTAAATTGTGATTTCAATGTGCCATTTTGATAACATTGCACATTAATTTCATATGTTTATGTATTTTTACAATGCACAACATGAGTACCTGTAGGTGTACTCAGCCCTTAAGAAGACATTGAGGAATTTTATTCCAAAGTTTGTTGAAAAAGTGAACCCCCCCCACAGGTGTCCTGTTGTATGATAGTCTTCCAGTTAGTTCCCTGACATATATCCTGAAACATTTAGCTTATCTCTGTAGTAGATAGCAGATGTTCATGCATAATTTTCGTGTCTTGAAGGTCAAGCTTGTATTCTTTTGTGGCATATAAGCAGTGTTTCACACCTGTGAAAAGAAATTTTGTTATGTATAAGGTCTTAGGTAAATTTGAAATTGTGTTGTATTTGCTTCATTTTGGTGTGTCATTTGGTATGAATATTTGAGGCCAATTTACCTAATGCTTTTGAGCATCTTTCAAGAAAGTAATTGACCCAGCTGAAGTTGTGATTATTTGCCATTGTCTTGTCATGAACAAGAAGGGGCACAGAGCCCCAAGTAATGCAGCAGCTCTATATATGTCAGTATTGTAGTCAGGGCTGCTCTCAGGCAATGTGGGCATGGAGCCAAGTATGATCTTGGGGCCCTTCTGTTCACTTTCAATTTTAAGAAAAATACATTTTGATACCAACATTTATTATTATATCAGAAGTGAAGAGGATAGGAAGGGATTTAAAAACATAAACATAAAATAGATGGAAGAATTACTTGGAACTTGCTGTTCCATAAACTAACAATTTGCAGATATATTCTTGAGATATTTGGTAATAATTTGGGCAAGTTTAAGCATGTGGTACAGGTGCCCATTTGCCCATTGGTGGAAGTGTGTGCCTCATAGGGCCTTCATTCTGATAGGTGCTGTACTTTGGTATGTTTTTAAGTCTGTCATGCACGGACAGATCGTGGTGTGGCTGTGGTTTATGCTATTGGACATCTGCCAGTATACCAGAATGCTAATTTCGTTCATAACCTCATGTTGTATATTTGTGAATTGTATAAAAACATTATTGACTTGTACTGGTTGAAATGATTTGATTGGTGGAGAGGCATTGTGTTTAGGAGCCACTGAATGGATGAAGCCTCTGCTTGCAGCCAATCAGATGACCACTACTTATGCTGTATAGTATGAAAGGGATATCTAAAAAGAAAACAGAATTCACCCTGTTTAATTAACTTTTGTGTTTGTATGGTAAGCTCCCACTGGTCTGGTTGTTGGCCACTGTCCAGTAAATAATCAAGGGATGGCAGGAACAATACAGACTAATACTACGCAAGTGTTGTTAGCTATGAGCTGTGATGGATTGTTTTTTGCTTTCTTTCTGTCAAGTGTAATGGATTTGCGGCGCATACTCAGCGGAATCGGCAGGCATGAAGAACTGTTGTGTCGTGTATTGAAGAAATGGACCATAGTGCACTCTTTTTCTTTTAACTAGATTATTGTCTGGTAAGAAGCGAACCGTCGCGACAGTAAACATGACAGGTTAAATCCGAAAATGGAATTCAAGAAACCGTTGTTTTTTTAATGGAACTTAAAAAGAGTTACTCTGCATATTGACTCTGCTGCAAGAAGAAACAATTAACAAGTGTGTAGTGATACCTTGTTTCAAAACTTCTTTTTTATCTCAGATTTTTTCCACGATTACTTCACAACTACATTTATTTAATGTTCTTGTTTTCTTTCGGAGTTTGGACCGTTTAAAAAGAAAATAACATTATTAGTGAACAGATGAAACAAACATGAAAAAAAAAACATTTTTGGACTCGGAAAGAATTAAGACTGCAGTGAAAATTAATTAAAATGATAATTTTTAAGGGAGTATGTACTTGAACGAGAAGAAGTTGGCAATAGTGCTGAACTCACAGGACATCATCTTTTCTTTAAAAAAATGAACTTTCTGAAAAGTTGTCATACTGTTAACTTTGAAATGGACCTCAATCAATTGGTAGCGGACATTACAATAAAGAAGCGGTGTGTGTGTGTGTGCGCGAGTGCATGATTGTGTTTTGTTTTGATTTTTGGCGGGTTTGGGCTATGTTCAGTCAGGTGCAGTAAGATCTTAGTGACAACTGAAGAAGATGAAGAATCAGAAGAAAAATATTGCTAAAATGAAATTTCAGCAATGGTATTAGTATTTAAAAAGCAAATTGTTAATAGAATTGGAATTTTTCATTCAAAGCTGCCATCTGTTGGCTTAACACTAGTACCTTGAGGTAAGGCTTCTGAGGATAATTTTGGGTGACGACCATGGTGTATTCCTTAATGCCGCAAGTATGGAAATTGTTGTTAGCATTGTCACCTTTGTATTATGTGAACAATGATTGCGAATCATGGTCTTTCTTTGTGCGTGTACAAAACTTTGTCCATTTTTTAGTCCATTTCTGTGTGTGAAAGTAAAATGCCTTCATGTTTCTCAGTTATTTCTAGTAATATTGCATTATGTAGTGAAGAGAGATACTGCTTATTGTGTTTTGAAAGAGTGGGATTATGGTATTTAAAAAGTTATTGGGTCAGTAGATACAAATTTAGTACTTCTAGTTGATCTGCATTGTGAATCACACATGTTCTCTTGGTTAACTACATGTCCCAGGTGCTAGCTGTGGTGTTTAATTTCATTTCTTCACTCTTTGGAAAGTTACTAATATCATTCTTCCATGTTACAAATTTTTTTCTTAAAAAGTGGACAAAGTTCAGGGGATCCGACTAGTGGGAAAATATTGTTGATAGCTAAATAAAAGCATCAATTATGAAAATCAGTTGACACAGTAAGGTGTATGTTTTTTGCTTTCTTTTCAGGGACCTTCATCAGATAAAGGGCAAAACGGATATTTGTGTATAAGGTGTGAAAGATAAAAGTTGCACAGACAGCACTCAATAATTCTCACTTTCATTTTATTAGGTTTATGCCCTTGTACAGAATTTTAGTTGAATAACTATAAGGGCAGGAACCTTTTCAGGATGTTGCAGTGAAGTGGGTTATGAAGGTTTAAGTTGAAGTGGAGGGACTTGTGTGGATATGTGCCTTTGTGATGACAAATCTTGAAGGAATATCACCAGGGAATATCTGTTACTCAAGTAATGTTTATGAAGTAGGCAGTAGATTGTGGTAATGTTTCATCCCTATAGTTTGACTAGGATTAGGCCCAATTTTATTTTGTCCAAGCACTTAAACATTTATGCATGCTATTTCCAGTTTTAATATAGTCATATGAACTAGTGGCCAGACTTTCACCATCTGTTATGTCTCCTTTACAGAGATATGAGAAGCCAGTGTTATGTCACAGGTAGGCTTAATGTTGCTGCTAGTAGTTAGTCATCTTCACATCATTGGTGTAGGCGTATTCTGTTTTGTGTGAGGATCATTTGGTAACACTCCATGAAGCCAAGTGAACAGTTAAATTCCTCAGTAAGTGAAGTTTGAATTTCCATTTCGTGCATCCTGTTTTGTTATTATATACAATTTCTTTATTAGAGATCATCACAACAACAATATAAAGGCCAAGGCCAAAATTAGCTTGGATACATGTTTCAGCTCATAAAGCCATCATCAGGCAAACACATGATTACCATATTCACACACTGTTGAACTGCAGTTGTGATGGTAAAGCTGGGTACTTGATAGTACATTATAAAATAAATGGTATAAAAGTACAATGAACTATTATAAACTTGTTAAAATGAAAGTTGTGACATAAAATAAGGTTAAAACTCTTCATGTGATATTCTGTATCATCAAGTCAGTTTGTTATATTCCCATGGACATATTGGTATATTCAGACTTGTGTACATGTAATAAACTGCTTTGGAGGTCTGTGGTATGGATGTAGTGCAGTTTTGAGATTAATTGTTTAGCTGGTGCCTCGTCTTATAATGTTAGGAGGATCAACACAGAGAGAGGACAATAGACCAAACTCGTGTGAGGGGTGGTATCCCTCAGCCCTTGATACCCCTATTAAGAATGTTATACCTATTCTAACCTGCAGACCAATTTCCATTGCTTGGCTGCTATTGCAGAAAAATGAGTCTAATGACCCCAGTAGAGCTAGCCAAGAAAGGACAAGAAACAAGTGCAGGAGAATAGAACTGTTCACAAAGTAATGAGCTTTGGAATTATATAAAATAGACCTTGGTGAAATTAAAGAGGCATAAATACCTTAGGGCCTTCAGTGTAGTGGTAAGAAAGATGGTGCAGAAGTAATTACAGAAGAAACTAGTGTATGTTGATCTGAAACCAGAATGTGCGATAAAGTCATAATATGGTAGCTAATAAATTGTCCTTCGTCAAAACGTTTATGGAGCTCAAATATCATGGAATGTTAGCAACAGGTCAAAATTGTATTCATGAGAAAGTAAGGAGCAGACTCAGTTCAAGGAATATCTTATGATTGGTTTGAGTTCTCTCAAGTTCAATCAGGAAACAAAATGTATTGAACTCATTTTTATCCGGTTTGTGGGGGCAAGAAACTTTGCCTTGCATATTAAGGAGCAGAAAGTGAGAATATTTGATAATGTGGATCTAAGGGATGATGTAACAATGGAAGAAACTGCTTTTGAGGGAATTTGAACCCTGTGCCAAATGTTATGTAGTGATCAAATCAAGGAACATGAAATGGCTGGGAACACACGAGGGATAGAGAAAAAGGGGGGGGGGAAGTGGCATGAATGCAACATTTTCGCCAGTGTACTGGAAGAAACACTTGCAAGGCCTAGGAGTAGATGACTGTATAAAAATATGGATCTAATTGGGTAGCACCACGAATTGGATTCATCTAGCAGGCTAGGGATTAGTCTCGGGGAACACAGTAATGAACTTTATTGTTCCACAAAAGGTGGAGACTGTTTACTAGCTGGGTGACTGTTAATATATCTAGCCGGTCTTCGTGGAATTTCTCCAGTGGCCTTCGATATATCGATATAACATAGACTCTGTGGAATTGATTAATGTCAATGTGTACCTACTTGATTTCTCGATATGATTGGTTAAATATATATATAGATTTTTTTTTTTAAATGGAGGATAGGTGTTAAAGAAGTGTACGCAGTTCTTGCACGAAAAAAATACAAAAATAATTTGATTTTGCTCCCACGAGGTTCTTAAAATTACGGAAAAGAAATTATTGTGTTACTGGAGGTAAATATATACCTATGATTGCATGTGACATTTTCTAACGTGAAAGTGCATAAAAACCAAACGCCGGTGTACACCAGAAAGTCGGTAGCATACAATATTGGATTATTAGCGTCAAGTCCACCCCTTACACATTCATTCATACTTCTTAATTCCACCAATTGTTCCACAATCACCCTCACCTATCATCTGGTGCTGGTACAATTGACCAGAAGTGGCCGCAGTACAAGGGACTTAGTCCCACCCCACTGGCAATAAAAAAATACTTAAAAGAAGATATTATGTGTGTTCAGTTTAGTGGATTGAGGGTCCTTTTCATTCTCATAGAGGATATTCGATGTTAATTTCTATATCATAGGGAATGACTTTTAGTGAATGTCTTGATCCACTGGTTAAGCAAAGCTGACTTAACTTGGATAGACTTGAAAGGATTCTGACGATGGTGTATACTGTACTTCTTTTGGCTTATTTTGGACTTCACCCATCGTCCCGGTCTTTTATATACCGGAGGATGGGTGAAGTCCAAAATAAGCCAAAAGAAGTACTGACTTAACTTACTTACTTACTCACTCATGGAGCTGAGCCCTTCTGGAGGAGCCGCCAATTCTGCAGCTACTCAAGAACTTTCCAACATTTTATGGAACCTGAAGGTTCATCATCGTGTTCACAAGAGCCCTCCACTGGTCCCTATCCTGAGCCAGATCTATCCAGTCCATACAATCCCATCCTATCTCTCTAAGATCCATTCTACTATTGTCCACCCACCTACACCTTGGTCTTCGCACCAATATCCTATACGCATTCCTCGTCTCCCATATTCATGCTACATGACCTGCCCACCTCATCCTCCTTGACTTGATCATTCTAATTATACTTGGAGAAGAGTACAAGTTATGAAGCTCCTCATTATGCAGTTTTCTCCAACCTCCTGTGACTTCATCCCTCTCCAAAGCTGACTTAATCTAACTTAAAAAAACTGATAAAATTGTCCCTGTGTTTCATTAACATTACACTATGAAGACGTATCGCGAGTTCGGGTATAGCCATTCTGGACCTCGGCACCAGACAGGTGAGTGGTTAGTGTCACGCCCCCAGTAACCGAATCGAAAAAAGTCAAATTAATTACGGAATGCCACCATGGAATCAGAGTGAACCTCAAACAGAGCACAGTCTTGGGGATTTGAGCCACATTAACATTTCTAAAATAAACTCTCCTGTATGGGTAGTTTCTACATATCTTACTGTGACTGTGCCATATTTTTAGGGCTGTGTATTGTGTTTAAAAGTATAATTGACTTTTATATCTCATTAGCGGAGATTTCAGTTAAATTTGTAGATTATTTTACATTGCCTGGAATGAATGACTTCACACGCCATGTACATACGACTTGCTAAATATTTATTGGAATGAAAAGTGTTTTGAACAAACATTATAGAGGAAAATGACTCGCACATATTGTATCCCAGTGCACTCTTTTCCAGTAAGTCTTACAGTGTTCAAGGTAAATTAAATAAAATTGAGTGCACCACAGTGGCTAATCCGTGTATACATTTATGAACCTGTTTTAATGACATTGTCTCATACTAAGACATAGTGCATTACAGAAAATCTAAACTTGCATCAAGAAATGGGAGATAGTTTCATTTCATTTTTAAGAGAGGCATTTCCTAGAAAATTCCCTGGTATTAAAACCATTCCAACCATTGAAACTGAAACAAAAAGTATAATACTGTGCTGTATTTGCGCTATGCAGGACACCCCCTCCCCCGCGGTGATGTAACAACATCAGAGCAATTGCCGCGGTGATGTAACAAGGGGACACTGCTATAACATGAGGTAACAGGGAATGGTATAAAAAGCTGGCTGAACAGTGTGGTCAGGAGTGACACAGTGTGGATCGTGAAGTCGCCAAGTGCAGCAGAAGTCTAGCAGTCTCCGAAAGCAATGGATTTAATTGTGATACTGCCGATCGCAGTAATTGTAATTGTGAATTGTGTCAGTGTGAGAACGAGTGTTCAATAAATTCATTATAGCCAATATGGCGTGAAGTTATTTGTCGCGTGACCTATACCCAGCACGTGACAATACATTTCCTCAAAACAAAAAAGCTCTTCAGGTTATGATGGAATAACAAGTGAAATTTTAAAAGTTTGTGCATCTCTAATGAGTAGCCCATTAACCCACATCTGTAATCACTCATTATCCACAGGAATCTTTCCTGATCGTCTTAAGATTTCAGTAGTAAGACCACTATGTAAAAAGGGGAACAAGACTAGTATGTCAAACTACAGGCCAATTTCACTGCTAACTACTTTATCTAAAGTACTTGAGAAATGTTGTATTTTAGCGTCCTGTTGCACTGATCTTCGTCCATGATATGTAAGCAGTGTCCGTCTTTTAGTGCACTCAATTTTACCTGTTACTTCACAACATGTTTCAGCACTATAGTGGCATCATCAGGTGCTCTATTTACGTCAATCTATTTCATTGCTTGCCATTACGTCATTGTAAAATTTAAAAAGTATTTAAAAATTTTCGTCAATTATAATAAATATACTAAAAACTTGTTAAGATTATTTATCTTATCTGTCCCAATTCTAACACCACGCATAGTTTCACCACTATGGGTGTTGTAATCNACAAACGTTTTTAAATACTTTTTAAATTTTACAATGACGTAATGGCAAGCAATGAAATAGATTGACGTAAATAGAGCACCTGATGATGCCACTATAGTGCTGAAACATGTTGTGAAGTAACAGGTAAAATTGAGTGCACTAAAAGACGGGCATTGCTTACATATCATGGTACTTGAGAAAGTTATGCACAATAGGTTAAGTCATTATTTTTAGAGTAACAATGTACTAGGCCCAGAACAGTGTGGCTTTAGGAAAGGAATTTCCATTGAGAATGCAGCCTTTAAGTTAACAGACAGTGTGTTGAAATCTATTAATCAAACAATGCATGTTGGTGGAATATTCTGTGACTTGGCAAAGGCTTTTGACTGTGTAAGTCATGAAATTTTATTAACGAAATTACATTTTTTTTGGCATTCAAGGAACAACTTTAAGTTGGTTTAGATCCTACCTAAGAGATAGAAAACAAAAGACTGAAATAAAATCATAAAATTCAATCCAAAATACCTACTCAAACTGGAGAATAATAAAACGTGGAGTTCCGCAGGGGTCAATTTTGGAGCCTTTGCTTTTCATAATTTATATAAACCACCTTCCTACACTAAGGACCTCATCAATACCTATAATATTTCTAGATGACACTAGTGTTATAATTTCTGGTAAAAATTTAGATGATTTCTGCATGTTATCAAGCAAGGTTCTTTCGCAAATGAGTAAATAGTTTTCTCCAAACAAGCTGTCTCTGAACCTAGAAAAAACAAATGTAATAAAATTTATAACAAAACTCACCACAAGAGCCATTAAACATAGGATATAATGATAAATATATAGAGGAGGGAGTAAACACAAAATTCCTTGGCTTGAAAATTGATAATCATTTAAACTGGAAAAACGATATCAATCAATTCATTCCAAAATTAAGTAGAGCATGTTATGCAGTTAGATTCATGTTACATATTAGTGACATTGACACTCTAAAATCAATCTATTTTGCTTATTTTCACTCTTTAATGAAGTATGGAATAATTGTATGGAGTAATTGCAAAAGAAAACTGTTAGAATCATGATGGGTGTCAAATCCCGTAGTTCCTGCAGAGATCTATTTAAGAGAGTACATATCTTAACTTTTCCTTGTGAATATATATATTTATTAATAAGCTTCATTACAAATAACGAAGAACATTTTCAGACGAATGCGGATGTATACAGTGTTAACACAAGACACAATCACTGTCTTCACAGACCAATTGCTAACCTCTCATGCTTTCAGAAAAGCGCATATTATCCTGGGATCTACATTTTTAATAACCTGCCATCTGACCTCAAAGGTCTTATGAATGAAAAGGCACGATTTAAAACAGCACTGAAATGATACTTAAATACACATTCATTCTACTCTGTTGATGAATACTTATGGTCTAGAAAATAACTTATGTATCTTTAAATAGCCCTGTGTGTAGTCACTGTGCATTCTTGGTTTCTGTTGTGTCACAACTCCATTGGGTCTCCACATATGTTTTGTATTTATATGACATATTCCACATCCTACAGTCATTTTGACTAACTTTGGATCCATGTAATGCAATGCAATGTAATGTAATATAATGTAATGTAATGTATTGTAATGTAAAAAAAGTACATAATGTATACATGATTAATGAATAAGTCATGGCTGTTGCTCTTCTCTGGCCCTTAGACTGTGACCATCTTCAGTTTGTGTATCCCACTGCAGTTAACCCTTGAACATATAAACACCTGAATGACGTGTGGTGCTTTACTAACGGGACAGCTAAGTAGTCGCGTGGCTCTGTGAAGTAATTTTCCAGGTGACCAGACATTGAATTACTGAAGGTTTCAGTCACATGGTACATGTGAGATTGTTTCGTCTTTGTTGACAAATGGATGAAGCTCCCAGGTTGGTCTTCCTCCATTGTTCATCCCCCTTTCTAGAAAAAATATCTGTAAAGTATTGTGGGAGCTGTCATGTCCCTTGTACACAGAATCATCACATAAACACATCACTTCTCTCAGAATATGGAAATTATATGACATAACCAAAATTTGGAACACATTTAATAAATGCTACCTTCCTGGGAAAGCGGAATGGACCATACATCACTCACTGTCTTTGGAGTGTTGATAGCTTTTTGTTTTTGTTTTGACAGGAGCATGGTGCCGTTAACAGAGAAACCGAAGCAAGAGACAGTTCCACTTGCAGCTGGAGTGAACATCCAGCTTCATGGCGTGTTGTCTGGAAATTCAGAGTCAGGCTAGTGTTATCTGTATCCCTTCTTCCTTATACCCACCTTCACTGGTGGAGGCACAAATCAGTTGGAGAAAACATCAAGAAAGAGAAAGGAAACATTCTGCTCTGGGGAAGCATAGCGTTGCTGCCATCGAACTTCTAGAAGAGCTGCCATAGAATGTAAAGAGTAAAGATGTAATACCTAGCACACATCAGGCTGTGCCATAGATCAGGCAGTTAGTTGCTGGCTTCCCACCATGGTGGCCCAGCTTTGAGTCCAGGTCACATCATGTGGGATTTGTCACAGACAAAGTGGCACTAGGACAGGTTTTCTCTGAGTACTTTGGTTTCCCCTTTCAATTCTCATTCCACTGACTGCTCCACACTCATCATCTGGGGCTGGTACAATAGGCCAGTTAGTGGCTGACGTACCAAGTGGACTCAGTCCCCCCCTAAACCAAGAAACTGACTGAAAACTAGCACACAGCCATAATGTGGGAATTATCTTACAAGGTCGTGATGATGTATTTCCAATAGTGCACCCCTGTGGGAAAGTTATGACAATTTCTGTCACAGGATAGGACACGGTTGATGCATTTCCACAAGTTTTGTTCTTCATGAGTTGTCTAGTAAATGTGAAAAATATGGCAAACAACAGTAGCTGGATTACTCATATAACTTGATAAACGTGTCTGGATTTATATATCTATATTGTTACTTTTCGTTGGTTTGGATGATGTGGCTCCAGTGAAGAATTACTGTTCCAAGTGATGATGTCTGGCATCGATTTTGGACTGAGAAAGGAGAATCTAGGAAGTTTACCTCAGACACCATCTGCAATGATCCTGCCAACTGGAGACAAGAAAAATGCAGGAACCCCCAGAGAACGGTGAGGAGTCCTTGTACAGAAGTTGTGTTGCATTCATTCACTTACTATGATGTATATTGAGTTTGAAAGTTGTTTGAAGTACAATTCAAAGGAACATTTTCTTTTAGCGAGCTGTCCTCTAAATGATACTGTCACAAACTGTGGTATAACTGCTTTATACACCTATTACTTCTGTTTACAGTCTCAGAGACGCAGCAGTGATGAGATTGCTAGTCCAAGCGGTGAAGGATGCAATATATATTGAACTCAACAAGGATCTTCTGAGGGGTCCACCCGAAGTGTCAGAGCACACAGAAAAATGTACATCCATTCCGTGTGTTACAGGTATGTATGACATGAAATGCAGGCCACCATTAACTACATTTTCCTGTTTACTCATTCAATTGAAGGAGAACTGATGGAACATGACAGTTCTGGCCATTGTGTTAGGTGGCTGGTCCTCCTTGTCACAGCAGCAACTGCGGAGAATACAGACCTCTGTGCTGTATGCTGAGGAACATATCACTTCTATTTTCAAGGTTGAAGTGTAAGCAAAACAAGAAACCAGCTGAGCTAAGACCAGCTTGCCATCTGCTTATGCTTGTGTCTGTTTTCACGTTTATAATACACAGTGACACGTAGATCGAGGTAAAAGTAAACTTGCCACTGTGGGCTCTTTACTGTCTCGTATACAGGTCACTGCTAAAAGAAGAGGTAAAATTGTCGCTCTGATTAATTAAACACTCTGCCATGAAGGTATATGGGGGAGTGCATGTATAGATTCACATTTTCTTGACCTCAGCACTAATTGGAGGTGATTTGTCAGCTTCATGCCTCAACTGCTTTGTTGCTGGGGAAAGACACATTAGATAGGAGGCTGGGTGAACCCAACAGCAGTCTGAATGACATGGAGAAGAGAAAATTCTTGCCCATACTAGGACTTGAACTACAGCCCCTTGGTCATCCAGCCCATAGCCAGTCACTATACTGACTGCGCTACCCTGGCTCCACAGGACACTGCTATGGTGAAATATCATGTACACCTTTGTAAAGGCATTATGCAACTGTCACTGTTTACTGCACAGTTTGGGCTCCTCTGAGGGTGTGCTTGCTGACTGTACCAGCTACAAGGAATCTAATCAGAAAGGAGTTTAGTTACGAACTTATGTCTGCAGGACTGTATAGTCATGAGACTGTTCTAGGGCTGGATAAATTTTGGCCTGTTTGCTGTGGGTGAGGGATGGGAGTAACCTGCCTCCATCTGCAGATAGTGTCATAATCCCAACGACAGATGTCACGAAAGGCCAATCGCCAAACCACATGATCATATCGATCAATCACAATCGCTGTAAGCGTTGCAAAATTTGGGCCAGTGACAACACAGTTCACGTCAAACAGCAAAAGTGTGATGTAGTGGTAAGTGATTCGCTTGTCAGGTTGGTCAGTTGGGAGGGGCATGGGGGAGTTTTGTTATGTTAAATTCAATTAAGGTTACAGGATTTTAATTAAGTAGTAATATTTGGCAATATTTACGTACGTTGACGTAGTGTGATGTTACATGTGTGATATGTTTGTAATGCAAAAGCTTTCTGTTTATGCTGTGATGATTTGATATAAATTTGTTCAGTAAGCAGGAGACGAGTGTACTTGACAAATATTGTTCATCGCACATCTTCGTGAATATATAAATTTGAATCATATAGACTCTTATTATAGGTGCAGCTGCAGTTGTGTTATGGTTGAACGAGTCTGTGCTTCAGCTCTAAGGTGGTTGTAAACGTAAATGTAAGTCCGTCACTGTGACCAAAAGAATTAACAAACTCACAGTATGCTGCGGAATGAAACAGATATGTCATGTGATGACAGAGTTATAGATGCTGATTTCATGTGCAAAATAATGATTACTTACTCTTAATATTCATGTTAGAAATTGAAAATTTGAAGTATGCCATTATGGGATCATATTGGAGAGAGAGGGAAGGACTTCTTAGAAATGTTATGCAGGTTTATATGATTCGTTATTAGAAGAAAAGATTAATATTATTACAGGTACTTACGAAACAGCACTTCACAGTATAGATTAGCTTGTATTTGGCTCATGAAATTTGGCGTTGTAGGAGAGTTTATAAGTAGATACAAATTTTGTGTTAGACACTTTTCTGTATTGGTAAATATGTGTTTGGTCGTAGTGAACTGTAAGTAATGAAGCTTCACTGTTTCAGTTACTTTCTTTGCAAGTAATTTTGCAGTATGAAAGTTTGTGTTGAATCCCATCAATTCTCCATGCCTTGCATAGTCTTTTGAGTGGTTTGTAGCCATATTTTATTAATTGTTGAGCATAATGTTAACACTGTTTTTGTAATGATGGAACTGATACATAACTCAAGTTCTGGGGAAGATCAGCATTTTCATTTTATGAGCTGATTGTCCTTGACTTTGTTATTGTGCTTGAATATTCTTGTTCCATTTTGTTTCCGGTTCTTCTAGAACCAATATTTGGTCCCTGCTAATAATCTGATCTAGATAATTGCATTTTATAAAAGCTGTGCTGACATCAGAGTTTGTGAAACAGTGAAAACTACAAACGTGGCTATGGATATCGTATTGTTTTGCCTGTAGTAGCTGAAATGTAGGGGACAGAATTATATAATTATTGAGTGGGAAATTTGGTTGCACAGGAGTTTGGAAATGGAAAATGAAATTTTTGATATATAGGTAGCGCAGTATTGCATGGCTTGCATTTATAAGGAAATGTAAATTAATTTCCCATTTTAAAGGAGCTGAAGTCTTTACTTTTATATATTTTTACAGTGTTCTAATATGGAGAGATCTTTGAGAAAAATTTACTTAGTGTATGGGTATTATTAGTACCTTTTCTTTAGGCCAGTATGTATACGAGCAAATACTTGATCTGTATTGACAAGCTTGTCAAAAGTCTCACACATTTACCATTGCACTGTATTTTTTCAATCTTAGAAGTTTTACATTTTGTTGAAATTAAAAGTGGATCAAGTTTGAAACCGTACATGCAGATTTGCATGCAAATCAGAACCTTTTTTTTTTAATGCTATTCATGTAATTGTTTCAGGCCTGCAACTCACCAGCACGAGACCTCAAGTGACTTGTCTGCCATAAGAGGAAGGGATGTTGCTGTACAGTCATAACGAGCAAGTTACAGCATTTCTCTGACGTCCATTATGCTGTCCTATCATCCATGCATGGCTCTTTCAGATAGCCTTTTCTCTTGTAGCTATGCCACCGGAATCTCTGCATGTCAAGACTGAAGTGAAAATCTGGACATGTGAGGACTGAAGTGAAAATCTGTGCATGTCAGGACTGAAGTGAAAATCTGTGCATGTCAAGACTGATGTGAAAATCTATGCAAGTCAAGACTGAAGTGAAAATCTATGCATGTCAAGACTGAAGTGAAAATCAGTGCATGTCAGAACTGAAGTGAAAATCTGTGCATGTCAAGACAAGTGAAAATCTGGGCATGTCAGGACTGAATTGAAAATCTATGCAAGTCAAGACTGAATTGAAAATCTATGCATGTCAAGACTGAAGTGAAAATCTGTGCAAGTCAGGACTGAAGTGAAAATCTGTGCATGTCAGGACTGAAGTGAAAATCTGTGCATGTCAAGACTGAGGTGAAAATCTATGCATGTCAAGACCGAAACATGACAGGAAGATACTATTACAGTATTATAGGAAGAAATGTCGGTTTGATGTGTGAGACCATGTCAGACTGATACTTATTTGTCCAACAAACTGCCTCTCTTGCTTTACTGTTTGCATGTAGGAGGGTAACACATATGCATGATATCATCTGACTTTGTGTGTTGCTTTGATGCCGTCGATGTGCAACATCGGTTACTATTCACTTGCTTTTCTTTATTGACACTAAATGTTTCGGCCCAACCAGCCGTCTTCAGGTGTACAGGCCGTTGTGATTGTAGAATCTGCTGCCCACTGTAATGCTGTTTTGTTTCCGTTATCTAGAGGCCTCGAATTGCATCTGGTTATGTGGGTTAGTCAACTGTTTTTTTATTTAGGTGTCCTTGAGTTGCTGGTGTTTGCTTCATGGGTTTGTTTGGCTGTGGCTGTCTTGAATGTTCTTGCTGGGGTGGGAATTTGTTGTGTTGATGGCCAACCACAGCACAACAAATATGCCCAGCTCAAGGACACCTAAACAGAAAACAGATGGTTAACCCACATAACCAGATGCAGCCCGAGGCCTCTGCATAACAGCAACAGAACAGCATTACAGTCAGCAGCAGGTTCCTTGATGGCCAACCACAATACAACAAATATGCCCAGCTCAAGGACACCTAAACAGAAAATTGATGGTTAACCCACATAACCAGATGCAATCCGAGGCCTCTACATAACAGAAACAGAACAGCATTACAGTGAGCAGCAGGTTCCTTGATCACAACAACCTGTACAGCTCAAGATGGTCGGTTAGGCGGAAACATGCAGTGACGATAAAGAGAAAACTGTGAGAGAATGTGAACTGACGTTGCACACAGATGGCATCAAAGCAAAACGCAAAGTCAGATCTAAGCAGTGCAACAGAATACTGCAATATAACATTATGCCTGGTATCAGTTTTTATGTGAAATTCAGTCATGGTCTTCTGGCTTATGACATGGTTACCAAAGTTTTCTGCTGGTCCGTTGAAGCCAGGGGCAGTGTGTTCGCTGGTAACCATCTACCAGGCAACACAGTGTCATAACTTAGGAGACCAGAATAAGATTTTCACCACTGTGAAAGATTAAAATCTGATACTGTGTAAACTTGTTTGTATATTCAACTCTGGTGGATGCTGTAAGGAAGTAATCACTAAACCATAGTAGTTCTGTTTTTCCTTATAAAGGAAAGAACTTGAGAGGTAAAGCTATCCCTGTAACAGGCTGTGGAGGCCCATAGGGTTGTGAGACATCGAGGCTCCCACATTTTCTCTAGGCAGTCAGCTCACAAATGGTGGGAAGGTTGTCAGCCTTATGCGCCGGCCACCCTTAACCCCCCCCCATGAAGATTGCTGGTACTCATTTCTGTTAGAGGCCAATTACAGACACTGCACAGTTTAGATAAAAGTAATTGCATATGCACAAACACAACATAAAGTCAAAGACTATTTAATGTAAGCACTGGAACATAGACACATTAATGCAATTAATGTAATTAATAATTCAATTCAATGCATGTTTATTTACGTGCAAACTTAACAGCACCGAGGCCAGTTAAAAGGTTAGCACGAGTACATAGAAATACACAAAAATAATTAAAAAACAAAATACAAAATTTGAGAGTCTATATATTAATGGAAATAAATTGATAATAATTCCAAGAAAAATTGAAGTTACCTGGAGAGAAAAATAAAACAAGACCAATATACATAAATACACAGGCCATGCCATAGCTCAAGCGGTTAGTCTCAGGCTTCCCATCGCAGAGACCCAGGTTCGAGCCAGGGTCTGGTCAAGTGGGATTTGTGGTGGACAAAGTGGCGCTGGAGCGGGTTTTCTCTGAGTACTTCGGTTTCCCCTGCCAATCTTCATTCTACCAAATTCACCATCATAATCACACAGGGCAGGCTACAATAGGCCAATCAGTGGCCGCTGTGCTGAGTGGACCCAGTTGGACTCCACCCACCACTAAGCGAATTTAATGTAAATTTTATGTACATACACACACCTAATGTTAGGAGTATTATCAAATATTATTAACAATTTTAGGTTCAATGTGATTGACAGAAACTGTTCCGATTGCAAAAATGTCAAGATCTTTACCCACAGTGTTGGCAGCATTGGCGCACCAAGCAGAAGGACAGTGTTTATTAGAGGGACAAACACCAAACAATGAGAAGTCCGTAAGATTGCTGGGAGGAACACGAAGGCTAACATTTTCCAAAAGAGAAGCACAGGATTCAAGACGAAAGACCTGAACAAAAAAAGTGCATCAAGGTGATGTCTCCATTTATCTAAAGAATGTAAACTTAATTTGTCTAAAGCATCAGTATAAGTATATGGAATATGAAGGAAAAATGATATAAACAGACGGATGCAAACTTCTGCTGGATGTGCTCAAACTTATTGGCATCAGTCGAGGTGATGGAGTTCCAAACTTCCGAGGCATATTCCCACTTGGACCTGACTAAAGTAAAGTATAGTACATACAGACACTCCAGGGAAGGAAATCTGTAGGTAATGGAGCGAATAAGGCCTAAAAGCTTTATGCATTCAGAAAATATGTTAACATGTGTGTGAAAATGTAGCTTTGACTTAAAGAAAACACCCACTGCTAGTGCGTGTAATGATAGCATGACAAAGCTGATATTCGTAGCTTGGAAAACTTAGCACTTTCTGTGACAGAACTGTGTCTGTATTCCCATTGTTGTATGTTGCAGTTCTCACGGGCAACACACATTTTGATGGAGTGTGATGTGGGAGTTCCATAATGAAACCTGTCTAAAGCATTGTATCAGCTTCCACTTTGGTTGGTCTAAATCACTTTCATGTACACAGAAGTGTTAGAGGTTACAAACGTTTGGTAAAGTTATTGTGTATATGTAAAATGGACTCTGTATGCTTGCACCTTACCTCTCTTTTGCTAGTTTTTATCGAATAAAGTACAGTCATTGATATCTCTTTCCCAAAACTCATCCTGTAAACTGTGGCTTTCATAATTGCATACAGCATCAGCATGTGACAATTTGGATTAATTGACAGTAACTGTTGTCTTCTTAGATGTGAGGCCATGTAGACTGGTAAAATGTTACCACCACTTTGGAGGAACATGTAAAGTGATAAGACCATGAAGATGGAGGCCTCACATTCCTCAGAAACGTTGGTAACATTCTACCAGACTACATGGTGTCAGACTGAAATCTTCGTGGTTACAGCCATATTCATGTGGAAGATCTTGGCCGAAGACTTGTTCACTTAAAGAGTATACATTGTAATTGCACATACAGGGAATACACAGTCATGAGTAGATAACAGTTGGTTTTGATTTGACATGGGAGTTAGTTGTAGGAATTGAGAACTGAGAGTTGCGTGTTCTGCATTTGTCGATACTTCTGAATTGCATGGCGACAGTGAGGAGGCTACAGCCGGTACTTGGAATGAAGAGTATAGCGTTCTGAGTTGTAGCAATGTGTATTTCGGAGAGAGCCCCACGTTTTGGAGGTGACATATTCGTCCTAAACATTGGGCCATCTCCAAACTACATGTTGCTGCAATGCAGGACCCTGAACTCCTTATAGACATTGCCATGAAAACATCAAATCAAACATGGTACTCAGAATGTCTGTGTAAGATAGGTAAGTTGCTGTCTGATTGCAGAGGCAATTGTAAATATAAATTGAATAGGAACTGCTGCAGCTTTGGGGGTTGGTGGGGAGATGTTAAGGCATTTTTCTAATTGGTACAGTTAGAAATTTCTTGGCAGCTAATTCCTCAATAATCAGACAAGCCATAGTGAACAGTTTAGGCATTGTATTGATGTAGAATTCTGTAAACTGTAAATGCAGTTAACAAATAATTTTAAAATATTTAAGAATTTTAATGTTTTGGATGAATAACGTTGAAAAAGTAATTGGATTGGGAGTAAATTTAGAAATTTTTGTCCTTTTTTAAAACATATCTTGAATATTTCAGAACACCAAAACATTAAAATTCAGTGGCATGTTGAAAGAATACATGTTGGTTGTGTTCATGGAGGTAAGTAAAAATGCTTTCACCTCAACGCATAAAAAGCTGCAGTCACATTCCCCGTGGACATGAATATGGAACCTTCAGAAGGTAAGTTCGCTGCTCTGTCCCTGAGACCCACACATCTACTGGTTGAATTTGCTTATAAAATTACATGTGCAGTGAATTTACAAATATCCTCAGAGCCTGACTGTTTGAAGTCCACTTAATGATCAGAATAAATGTAGAATAAATCCTTACAAGACCAGTTGTGTTACACGTCTTAATATGGTCTGTATAAAGCTCAAGACAATGTACCAAACTGTTTAACCTGTACTGAATACAGCAGTTATGACAAGCGTTAGCTCAGTGGTAAGGCTTGTATGCACGAGAACATGGGTTCAAGTCCATGTGGATGGGAATAGAATAAAGTAACCAGTCATTATGAAGGGGTGGGGCCAAGTTAATGTGCATGAAATTAATACTTAATGCACGATTTGCAGGTACAGTAGGAAATGCAAACAAAACCCTGTACTTTTTGTTTCAGTAACCTTCAACAACCTTCAAGAGCACAGCACTGCCGCAGCCCCAAGCTTTCAGCCTGGGATTTGATAGTTTGGCTGCAGATGTAGCTGTATTTCTGAAGAAGGGGATCCAGTGGACAATCAGCATCAAGGGTCGGAGCCAAGTTAATATACATGAATCTAGTGCTAATTGCAAGAAATGTAAACACCCCCCTGAACTGTCTGAACGTGTAACCTCCAAAATACCTTCAAGAGTACATTTATAGCCACAGGATTACTGAGGAGTGTTGCGGCTGAACGTTTATGTGTTAGACAGGATATGAGGATAAACTCCGTTTCTTTGATTCGCCACCTGTGCAAGCCAAGTGGTCAGTCCTTGTTTAAAAACTCTTTTAATTTATGCTGAAATGTCTGCTCTGGGGAATATCATTTATTCTGTATGTCTCCTGTGAGGCATCAGTTGACTGGTTGACCACAACCTCCTAAATCCCAGGGGTAAAGCACCATTTCCTTTTGCACCTCAGGCATGAGGTTTCGTACTCTTCTTGGTATGGGGTCCAAAGCTTGCATTCAGTGTAAAGCAGATGAACGGAGAGGATGAGAACTGACCAGTTGGCTTGCAAAAATGGCTAACTGAAGAAACGAAGTTCATCCTCATAGCCTGTCTAGGAGATAAATGTTCAACTGTGGCACTGATGTTTAATCCTCATCAGAAAGTTCACAGCTTTGGCTTGAAATGTGCTCTTGAAGGCTTTAGAGGTTATAAGATCAAAACAATCAGGGTTATATATACATTTCTTGTATCTTCAAAATATTTGCATTTAGCGCTACATTCATATATTTGTACATAAACTTGGCCCCTGACCATTGATTCTTACTGGCTGCTGTAACTCATTTTTTGGAAATAAGGCAACATCTGCGTGGAAATGCCCAGAGCTGCAACAATTCTTGTGTTCTTGAATGTCGTCAAAGGTTATTACATCAAAAAATTACGGATTTTGTTTACATTTCCAGCTATACCTATAAATAGTGAACTAAGCCCAGAATTCATGTGGACTCATGTGTCCCCGCCCCTTAATGTTGGTTGGTTACTCAGTTTACGTCATTGGGGGGGAGGGGGTTGGATGATAACACCTCTGACCTCCCCCGAAGGCGTGGTTTGGCTTACTGTTCCCACTGAAGTGGCCCCGCCCCTTAATGCTGATTGGCTACTCATCAGTCATGGTCATGTAACTTCCGCATGTTCGTGTTCCTGCCGCGGTGCATCGGAAAGTACCTGGTTTTTGTTTACATTTTGCCGCGGTTCATCGGAAAGTACCGAGTTTTTGTTTACATTTTGCCGCGGTGCAACGGAAAGTACCCGGTGTTAACGAAAAGTTCCGAGGTTTTGTTTACATTTCTTGCTGTATGCACAAAATCTGCAAAAGTACTGCCCTGCTTCGGGTTTTCCAAATAACCTCCGGGTTTTCACAAAAACCAATCAGGTTTTCAGAAAAACCTTCCGGGTTTTCCAAGAAACCGGGTTTTGTTTACATTTCTTGCTGTATTCACAAAATGTGCTCAAAGACTGCCTTACTCCGGGTTTTCCAAATAACCTCCGGGTTTTCAGAATAACCACCGGGTTTTCCAAATAACCGAAGACGATTAAAACGAAGAAGTACCAGGATTTTTAAATTTAATTCCTCATTTGCGATCAATACTGTGCTCCTGAAGGTGGTTCAAGGTGCCAGGTTTTCCTGATAACCGAAGGCCATCAAAACAAAAGTATCGCATTTTCCTGCTAACCGAAACCATTAAAATGTAAAGTACCGTTTTTTTATTTAATTCCTGATTGCAGAAATTTTACTCAGCTTCTTCCATTGCTTTTGTAGTGTGGTGAAATATGAAGGAAAAAATGTATTGATGGGTCTGGAATACTGTGGGTGGTAAAGTGGTGCATCTTGAAGACTTTACTCATTACCCATAGAAAACTGCCGTCATCCTTATTAGTAGCAACACCAGCAGCAGTAGTAGTAGCAGTGGCAGCAGCATTATTGCAAAATACTCGCTCGTATGTCATGTTTCCTTTCTACTCATATTTGTAACTGACTTACCTGTAGGAATATTTTAATGATACATCAGTCATGGATCAATAGGTTCAGGGAAGGGAGCATACACAGACAGCAATGTGATCTCATAGCCCTGTTTTAGAGGAAAAAAGTGACACAAGCTGATAAAATATTCTTGGGCTATCAGCCATGTCTGATGATAGGGAGAGATGGTCCATGCGTCATCAGTGATACTTAACCAACTGACACGGCTGAAAGCCAGAGCAGATTTCGGCCACTGCAGTTGCCATGGAAGCTTCAGATCTTGTGTTTAACGTGAGCTTTACACTGTAGTTAAAAAGGTAAAGCAGGGTAATTTTATTTCAGATGTACACAGTATTTGTTACATGCCACAGGAAATTGACTAGCCATATATGAATTGAGAGCTTACAGCATTTTTTTCTGAACTGTTATAAAAAACTGGCACTTTTAATATAATATGACTGTTAAGAGACAAGTTATGGCTGCCATAGGAATTCTGTGTTCCAGGCAGTGATGTGATACAATGGCAAGTGTCCTCTGTACGCAGGACGCCACTGAAGGTTAAGCAACAAATATTTAAATATGGATTCCAATCACAATGTGGGATATTTCATTGGGAAGTGTATGTCTCCTCCTGGTGNCCCCCCTTCTTCTGACCTCTCTTGATGGGCCAGCAATTACTTCATACTAAAGCAAGTGTTACAGGTCTAAATTAACTGACTGCATTAAAATGAAACATGTTTCCAACTTGCATATACCAAGGAGTACCTGTACTTCTGTAAGACTGGCAGGACACAACTACATTTTCACCACTGTCTTACGGAGACATTACTTGTCAGCATACCCTTGCAGGATGAATGTTGCTAATACCAAAGCCCACCAGTGGACACATCATGATCCAGTCTTATACCCGGTTTCGTCAAGATCTGGTTTGATATCTTCCTTCCATCACTTTTGTTTTGCCAAGTGGATGCTTTCCAGCATGTTCCAACAAAAATATTGTACGTATCTGTGTTCAATTATTTACTGGAGTCCGTCATAACACAATAACATAACGTTCAACGTTAAAATTACACAACTACATGTTTCGGCTATTTAAAGCCATCATCAGGCAAAACACATGATTACTATATTCAGACACAATTAGTAATCATGTGCTTTGCCTGATGATGGTTTTAAAAAGCTGAAACATGTAGCTAGGTAATTTTAACCTCAACCGTTATGTCGTCGTGTTACGACAGACTCCAATAAAGAATTGTATATATAATAACACAACAGGATGCAAGGAAATGAAAAGTATTTGTGTTCCCCCAACCCAGCTACAAGTCCTTGAGGTAACTTTCCTGACAAAGCTGCAAAGCTGTATAATCAAGTTCCTTGGTGGGGACGTTGTGTGCTATAACACTGTGTTGTTGTCTGGCAGGCGGATACCAGTGTGCTGGTGAAACACACCACACTGCAGTCTGATAGGTGGATACTAATGTTTTGGTAGAATGTGTGCCTCCATCTTTAGGATGACTCCAGATATCAGACATTTAGATTGTGTAGGTACAGATGTTTGAAGTCACAATATGAAATCAGGTCATCCACAAGCAGCAGTTTCATTTGGCTAATGATACGGGATATGATACTGTGTAGGTTGGTACAAGTTTAACGATATTTCAGAGGAACACAATGCCTTCAGCTTCAATTTTTCATCCTGAAGATTGAGGAAGTACGAAGGCAAATCGAAAAGTCTTTGCCCCAGTTTTTTTTTTCAGCCACAACACACGTACAGGGAAATCAAAATGCAGTGTTCTAAGTACCTTTGACTATTTTTCCACATAGTCACCACCTCGGTTGAAGCATTTGTCCCATGGCACCACTAGTTTGGAGATGCCGCTGTTGTAGAATTTGGCTGGTTGAGAGTGGAACCACCAGCAGACAGCAGTTCTCACTTCGTCAGAAATGAACCTCTGGCCTACCAGGAACTTCTTCAGTGGACCGAACACGTGGTAATCACTGGGGGTGAGGTATGGACTACACAGTGCATGCTCCATAATCTCCCATTCGAATGACTGCAGTCACTCCCGGGGATTCTCTTGGACGTTGTGGTTCTCCTCCATGACAACACCAGGCCTCATGTGGCAAACAGGACCACCGCCCGACTGCAGTCATTCGGATGGGAGATTATGGAGCATGCATCAGATAGTCCAGACCTCGCCCGCAGTGATTACCATGTGTTCGGTCCACTGAAAAAGTTTCTGGCAGGCCAGAGGTTCATTTCCAGCAACACAAAAACTGCTGTCCGGCAGTAGTTCTGCGCTCAACCAGCAGAATTCTACAACAGCGGCATCTCCAAACTAGTGGTGTGATGGGACAAAAGCCTGAACCGGGGTGGTGACTATGTGGAAAAATAATCAAAGGTACTTAGAACACTGTCTGTATTTTGATTTCCCTGTATGTGTATTATTGTGTCTGAAAAAAATAGGGGCAAAGACTTTTTTGATTTTCCCCCGTATATTTGTCTGCAATGTTGGTTAAAACAAATTACAGAGCGTTACATTTCAGAAGCTTTGTTAGGATGTGATAGAATGTATGTAGTAGAAGTCTACCCTTATGAAGGTGGCAGTACGTTCCTCCAAAATGTTGGCGGACTCCTACCCACCTACACCTCCAACTTCCTCGTGATCACTACCATGAATATCTGAAATCTTGCACGTAACACTGGTGCTTGTATATGACTGTACTTCTGTTTATATGAACAAGAAATATTAACACACTACAACCATACAGTAATTGTGCTGTACTGATTAAACTGAACTGTGATCAGTACAGATGAATTATATTACATAATGAAATAAATTTGTCAGAGCGTTGTTTGAACAAGTCTTCATCAAAGTAGTGAGTCTGTTAGGAAATCTGTACAAATTAATAAGAAATTGCAAGTCTACCATTGCAACCATTTCAAGCTACGGGCCTGACACTTCAGTGGCCCTGCCTGGGCTCCAACTGCACACGGCCACCTCAAGTTTACAGTGAAACTTTGAGTGCATACAAACATATCATGAAATTTAAGCATTTTTATATCATTTTTCCTAAAGATGATATACATTTAAATACTACACCAAGCAAAACTATTTTATTGTTATCTTTCTCAACAGGATACTGACCAATAAACAAAATCTTCAGTTTCTATTGATAGGTGTGTCATACCTTTTGTTTGAAAACCATTTTCTGAAAAATTAATTACCTATGGTAAGGACGGATAGTAATGACCATCAATTACCACAAGCAGACTGCTCTGAGTGAGAATGTTACAAACTAAAATCAACTCCACACATAATTCCAACCTTGCAAGTAACTGCACTAACTGAACAACATATTCTGCATGCACCTAATGGAGTAGGTGTACATGCTTTAAATTATAATCCGTATTTCATGAGGAAATACACAAATGTAACAACTTTTGTAATAAGGTGATTTCAAGTTAATTTATATTAACAAAGACTAAAACATATTGAAACTGTCTTAAATAATTAGGTGGCTGGAACATATGTGACTGAGGTTGTCAGCTTACAGTTATGCATTACTGATATCAAGAAAAATGCAAGTTTGGGAACACCTGTAGTCTGTCCGTGTACCTACTTAAGTGAAGATTAGTAGCACATCAGGATTACAATTCAGACTTCAGATAATGTTCAGCATCAACTGATATGTTCATTTTGGGTTCAAATCATTATCACCACCTCCAAGAAGATGCCTTAAGATCAGTTTTACACAGTTTCATGACCTGACATTATTGGCCAAGTCTCTGTGTCTTTCGAGTTTTTGTATACCTACAGAAGACTCTTCATCATCTGCATGTGGATTAAACACAGGACTTTTATAACCACATGTAAGATTTGTAACCACTGTCCAGTGCGATTGATAAAAGTCGTTTTTAATGTTTCAGTCAAAATGACCATCTTCAGAAGGATATTATCAACACATACGGAAACTACTGTTACGTCACAGATATATATGTTATATCATTTAACTAATATTAAGATGTGCAGTGATTTGTTAAAACATCTAAAATTATTACAAAAGTGTAAGGACAAGAAACCACATTGGTTCTAGTTTAAAACAAATACTGAACATTATTTTGTAAACAGACTAACTGTAATAACGTGAAACAGTAGTTTCCATACGTGTTGATAATATCCTTCTGAAGATGGTCGTTTTGACCAAAACATGTAAAGTATAAAAAATTAAAAACGACTTTTATCAATCACACTGGACAGTGGTTAAAAACCTTGTATACATTTACTAGTGCAACGGACCAGGATGAACCAAGTTACTTTTATAACACATTACAAATGTTTCAGTGATATATCAGTGGTGCTTTACAATGATTTGCAGTAGACTGTACATCTTCTGATTCTGTTGCTTGTATAATTTTACAGCCTTTCATACTGGTCTACAGCTCAACAAGGGCTTCTTTCTTCCCTTGGAAGGATACAGTATTGCTACTGCAATCAGGAAAGGCCAAATATATTTTTTTCTTTTCTTTTTTCTCTTGGCACTACAGCCCCAGTGGGCCTAGGCCTACCTCCATGAACTCTGTTCACCAAATATAATTACTTCATGTCTGTTTTAGCTTAGAGGCTGTTCATCTGTCTCAAGTCCTATAAGCAAGCAACTAATCACTAGAAATTGTACTTTTCAGCTTACAGGTGCCAACAGGTTACCTAAGGAAGCAGGAGAACCACTGTACTCATCTGAATGAGACATGAACTCTGTGGTCTTCCTTCCGGCACACATAGACACTGTTGGCAGCTGCAAGCTGTGTCTTATTTAAAAATAGAGATGATATTCCAGACAGTAAGAAACAATAAAAACATAAGTCCGCGCCAAAGTTGAGAGTTGGTGCCAGCACATTTCATGAAGAATTTGCAGTTTGGTTTTTGAGATGGTTGCCCTGAAAAAGAAAGAAATAAAGAAAATGTAGTAATGCTCATGTTAAACTTGAAGATTTCACAAAAACCTCACATGGTGGTTTTCTTTTTGAAAATGAAATTTCATATTCTGCATCAAAAACAGAAATTTTTACTAAAGCTTCACAGTACCAAGGAGGAAAGTCTTATTAATCAATCCATCATTAAAATGACACTTTATAGTGTACAGTCTACAAATTATAACAAGATAAGCGACATGCTCAGAGAAAAACAAATATTTACTTTGCAGCAGTATAATCACCATATGACATTATCGACATTACTATATGGCTTCCCATCTACTCAGCCTTTAAGTTAAAGCTATGAATTACTGTTATTTGCAATGTCGAGATTAGACACATTTTGAATTGAGTTCACTGGTTTCATCTAGTAATCTGTGTTCTCGTGTCTAAGTCTGTCAGTTAATGAATACATTTCTTTTTAATTAGAACTGGCTGTTCTTTTCAATGAATGCAAACAAAATGCATACTCATGTCTGTTTACCGCCACTAAGGACCACGAGTTGAGACTGCATTTCTTTCTGCTTCTGCTGCAAGAGGCTAAGCGTTCCGAGTGTGTGTGTGTTATCCGAGAAGTTATTCAGTACATGTTTCGACCTATAAGGTCATCATCAGGTGTTTTAAAATTACAAATTATAAATGAGGAAACTGCTTTGCTTCCATATTGTGGTTGTTGGTCATCACCATGCGGTCCCTTCTATGCGCATGTATATACAAAGTGGCTGATTGATCTGCTTGCTGTGTCATGCTGTGCAAGACACACGCAGCATAACAACCCGCCACTTCGTATATACATGCACACAGAAGGGACCGCATAGTGATGACCAACAACCAGAATATGGTAGCACAGCAGTTTCCTCATTTATAATTTTAAAACACCTGATAATGACCTTATAGGTCAAAACATGTAGTGAATAACTTTTAGGAAGTTTTACAGAAGGACATGCTGCACGTGAGACTGTGAAATAATTGTGTACTAAATGAAGTGCAGCAGGCTGCTACAATACACTAAAGTAAAGTAAAGGTATCCCTGTAACAGGCCGTGGAGGCGCATAGAGTTGTGAGATGTTGAGGTTCCCACATATTCTAGACAATCAGCTCACAGATGGCGGTAAGGTTGTCAGCCCTATGCGCCTGCCGCCCCTTACCCCCAAGAATATTCCTGGTACTCATTTCCATTAGAGGCTGAGTAAACTTCAGGGCCATGGTGCAGCTGGAAGGATCAGGTCAACTGAAAAAAATCCAATGACTTCATCGGGACTTGAGCCCATGACCTTCCAGCTTGTATTAGAAATAAGAGCCCATGACCAGATCTGGACTGATAGTCACTCCCTCCTGTTCAGTTTTCTTCATTCGCTTCCCCACTTTATTTTTGCCAGGTCCCTTTCCATGAAATTCATGAGACTGGTATCTGAAATGAGAAATAGAGACAACATTAATGTCACAGTATTTTAGGATCTTACAGAATGTGGCCATGTTTCCAAGTAACACGTAAAATCCTTTCATCCTGAAGTTTCAGCCTTAAAGAAGGGTATGATCCATATATAGTTGAATCTGTTATTTTGTGAAATAATAAAAATATGTAACATTCCATTTTCCAATGCAACTTACTCATACAACCAATAACCAGAAATGGGCATGCTACAGAACATTAAAGTTGTAGGGACTGAAATGATTAACACAAAATATTTTAACAAAAGTACAATGGGACAATAATAATTTTGAGGTATGTTTCTTCCTAATTCATGCAAACTATCTGCAAAATGAACCATTTTGCCACATTCTATGCCTGCACAACAAACTATATCAGGTACAAAGTATTTACACACTCAAATGTCACAATATGTTGGCTAGTTACAAACTGTCACATAGAGAAAGGGAGAAAAGGAAGTCAAAACAACACGTATATATCAAAATGTTCTACTGAAAGCATCTGAGGTGGAAGACAATAACCTCACCACCCATGATAGGGTAATCATGATAGTGCTGGTCAGCAGAGGGACCCTACAATTTAACATGGGCTCTAAACCATTGGGGGGGGGTATCCTTTGTATTCCTGAACCTCGAACTCTGGTAGATGTGAAGGCATCATCTGTGAGCAGAAAAATCTGTACACAGATGTGAGTGGGGATCAAACTCAGAACCTTCTCAATGGGCATAACAGCTTACCCCAGGACCTTTTTCTTAAGGACCTAATTTAAGTGGCTCTAGTGTTGCTCCCAACTCAGTCACCATGTTAATATGGCTGATGGTAGACAACTAAAAGAACATGTGAGTGGCACGATGACAATACAGAGTTTCACATAAATCCATCAGTTGGTTCACACATTACCCTGAGGATGGCACACATGGATGATAAACACGGTAGTCCCATGATCTTGTCTGTTTCCACTGAAAACTACTTCCTCCTTGGAATTTTTTTCTTAAAATGGCAATTACTGTGGAAAATTTTTTGCCGTAAAGACTGTACTACCATTGGAGAGTCTACCCTCCACAGTGTGACCTGTCTTAAAAACAGATATGCTATTATCTGTGCTGACCTGAAAGCCTCCTCTGCATTAAGTACATGTCCATCATCATCTGTGTAGTCGAGTTTAACATTTGGTTTGTAGCCCTCCTCTTCTTTGAAGTTTGAGGTCAGACCACAGTGGTGCTCGCAACGCCCACACTTTTCATCGTCTCTGAAAAAGATAGAGCAATGCTGTATATTAAATTCCTTAATCAGTCTTGCTTGCTTACTTCATCCTGTACACCTCCCTAATACTCAAGTGGGTCAATCCCGAGAGACAAGACGAGACTTGGAATCCAGTTATAGAGGAGATGACAAAGTATTCAAAGCTCAGATATTCTTTAGCCATCAAATCTCCTACTCTACTCCATAATCAAAGCAAGTGGCCGATCCTTGTGCCCATGACAACTCTCTTCCCTAAGACCTGCTGCAGAGAAGACTTGACAGCTACAGGACAACTTAGGTGACTTAGTCTGCAGCCACCTGCCCACCNCGAGAGACAAGACGAGACTTGGAATCCAGTTATAGAGGAGATGACAAAGTATTCAAAGCTCAGATATTCTTTAGCCATCAAATCTCCTACTCTACTCCATAATCAAAGCAAGTGGCCGATCCTTGTGCCCATGACAACTTTCTTCCCCCTAAGGCCTGCTGCGGAGAAGACTTGACAGCTACACGACAACTTTGGTGACTCAGTCCGCAGCCACCCACTCACGCTAGTTACTCGCTTGTGGATTTTTATACCCTGAAGATGGAGGCGATACGTTCCTCCAAAACATCTGTTTATACAATATCTATACGGTGCCACATCCCAGAAGACAGCATTCTTCATGAGTGACATTCATTACATACCAAGACACTATACAGTAAAAAAAAAAAGTAAAGTCAGCCCTGTAACAGACCATGGAGGTCCATAGGGTTGTAAAACATTAAGGCTCCCACATTTTCTAGACAATCGGCTCATCGATGGTGGTGAGGTTGTGAGCCTTATGCACCAAGCTATCCCTGTAAGACTGTGGAGGCCCATAGGGTTGTAAAACATTAAGGCTCCCACATTTTCTAGACAATCGGCTCATCGATGGTGGTGAGGTTGTCAGTCTTACACACCAGCTACACTTTACACCCCAAGAAAATTCCTGGTACTCATTTCTGGTAAGAGGCTGAGTTGACCCTAGGGCCATAGTGCAGCTGGAAGGATTAGGTAAATTGAAAAAAATTAATGACCTTCTTGGGACTTGAACTCACGACCTTCAAACATGTAGCATAGTGCCTCAACCAACTATCCTACTGCTTCTAATATTAAACAGTAATGATTAATGTGTTCCTACTAGAACCCCTAAGAAAACTGCAGTATATGATTAAATATGGTACACCATTTATGAAATAGTTAAAATATAAATGCACAATTAAAACCAATACTAGAGTGTCAATATCTCTTAATTTGAATAGGCCTATGTTGTACATAAAGAATCTGCTAATGACTCACCAATCAAAACTTCATTCCAAGCTCCACGTTTGCCTTCTTCTTCCTGACGTGTCTTCTCTTCAATCATTTCCCTCTCAAAGTCCTGTAATGTCAATTTTGTACAAGATTAGCAGAACGCAAATGCGCAGTCCAAAAATTACCAATTCAAAATTACCTTGAGATAGACTGAAATCTGAACTGTTTACGCACCAACCACTGTATAAAACGTTACTGCACTGTAAAGTACTGACTCCACTGCGTAGGATTTGAGTTTCTGACAGCAGTGGTTTTGAAGAGTTCTGTCATCTGGGATATAATGCCGTGTAGTCTGTCGAAAGTCAACAGACATTTTGCAGAAACATGTCACCTCCATCTTCAGGGTTGAAGAATAAATCAAGCAAGAAACCAGCACTGGCAGGTAACAAAGCCAAGCTTCTTACCTGCTTCATGCTGGCTTCTTGTTTCATTTATTCTTTAACCCTGAAGATTCAGGTGACATGTTCCCCCGGAAATTCGGATGATAGCCCAGAAGACAGAATTCTTCTGACTATACTGATCATCTTGAAACTTCTTTGCCAAAATATCTTTCTAATATCATATTATGCTTTAAAGTAACAGATCTATTAGAAGCATACTCTCATTCTGCCAAGCAATGTACACCTGCCAAACTAATTCTGAGTTTGCAGTGAGAATACTGTGACAATTAACATTCACTTCACTTTGCAATGAATAAAATTACAAGAACTATTGGTTTTTGATTTAGTCATGTTCTGAGCTATTTATTCATCCCTATTTCAATTTCACATATAATTCCTAGTAGCGTCTTTTCTACCCTTGTCTCATGCACACGGCACAGGGAGAAAAGAGAAATAAAAGATGGGAAAAAAGGACTGGATTTGAGATTCCTGTAGAGGAGATTAAGAAAGTCACTATCTTCTGGGAAGTCACACCCTGTAAGTCCACTGACATTCCTTCAAATGCTTATGGACCTTATCACATTATACAGCATTTCATTCCAGAAGGTACCACTTGTCAAGAAGAAGAAGAAAAAGGTTCTGCCATCTCAACTATCACATTCTTATTGCATAACGAGTGCTTTCATTTCTAGGATTTCTGTTGGATGTTTCCAGTTCAGTAATTTATATATCCATTACCATGGAATTCAACTGTAATTAAAATATATTCTCATTCTGTTGCAGCTGCAGTAAATAACTGTACATGGGCAATGGAGTGTTCTAGTCTTGACACATGCTAAATCAAATTGCCTTGCCAAGTGTACGTGTATCTGCGGATGGTTATATTGCACTCACTAGTTCCTGAGCGTCCTCATCCGTTGCCAGCCAGACCATAAAGGGGGATGTCACCCAACGCATGGCAGAATTCTGCGGTAGCATTCAGCACAATGGAACCGCCTTCCGTGTTTCCTTCTGAGCTTCTCTCCAGTACTGACTCTGCCACCTACAAACATCACAAATCACAAACAGTCAAATTACGTAGCTATAGAGCATTCTGTTTTGTAGTGTCCATAAATGCAAAGGTGTCCCTATGCTTAATTAGTTATGCTCTAGATGGAGGTCAGTGGCCAGCTCCATGACACTCAGGAGGCCATAACAGGTCTCAATAATCAAAATACAAGGATGACAGTATAAAAAAAGGTAGAGCTCTCCCTGTAACAGGCCATGGAGGCCCACAGGGGTGTGAGACGTCAAGACTCCCATACTTTCTCGACAATAAGCTCACAGATGGCAGTGAGGTTGCCAGCCTTACATGCCAGCTGCCCTTTAGCCCCCCAAGAATATTCCTGGTACTCATTTCTGTTAGCGGCTGAGTTGACACCAGGGTCATAGTGTGACTGGAAGGATTCAGTCAATCTAAAAATCCAATTACCTAACTAGGAATCGAACCCATGACCTTTCAGTTTGTAGCACAGTAAGAAAGGATGATGATATTACTTAAATGCGAAGATATGATTTACTGGTTTGAGGCCTACCACAACGAACTGTGAGAGAAACAATTTAATAGCCCTCAGGTTAAATTACAATAGTTTCTCTAGGGTACAATGGTTTTGTACAGTAACCAAGGAGGAAACATCATAATGAACTTTACTACAAAGTTCTGCATAACATTTTATAACTGGAACATATGGAGACACTGTGTGGGAACTAAACATGGCACAGGATAGGGGCAGGTAAGGGGAGGGTGGCCTTGACTGAACAAGAGAAATGACCCCTACTACAGCCAGACATTTGTGAGAAGGATTAAAAAGGAAATCTGCCGATGTGATGTACCTTTTCTACATTGTTCTTTGATTCTGTAACAGCCTCCTGCAGCTTCAGTCTCCTTGCTTTCTTGAGGGCTACCTGTAGCTCCAGTGCGCTGTCATTGGGCTTAATCTTGATGTTGGACATTATCTCTTCTGGCGCTGAAAGTTGTGTCCGATTATTAATAACATTCAAACTGCTCCTGCACATTTCCTTTCATGATTTCACAGCACACTTCGTAGCGCGAACTATACGTATGGTATCAAATGGCTGTTGATTAGTAAATAATGTATTCAAAAGCCTTGGTGCTTGTCACCTGATTAGGGATACTAAGTCCAGCCAGCATTTGCCTGGTGGTAATGTGAAAAACCATGAAGACACTTAAGTCAGGTTCGCCAGATGTTCCAGCGGAGATTCATGAACACAAGAACCCAGCCCCCCCCCCCCCTTTTTTGTGCTGATTTGAGATCTATTTCAAATTTATGACAACAAGCACTCGTTACCTCACTTGTTTCACTACTATAATGGATGAAAACTTTAGTGTCATCAGCTTTAACCATCGAACGAACTGCCATTTTGGATATCAGTTAAAAGTGATGATCGATGGATCGATAGTGATCGATCTCTCGTGAATTTCATATGCAGCTCCTAATAATTTTGTAGAAACACCAAAATTATTCAACTTATAAAATAATTTATACTCAACATCACACAGCTCTCGTATGCCGAGTGCCATTAAACTACATGAACAAAAACAGGATTAATTTTGAACTTTGATCAAAGATAATGCAATATTTGTACATTTTAAACTGGACTGATAGCTCAGTCGGTTGCTTTTCATAACCATCACTACCATGACAGCCTGAAATCGCTTATAAATACAGCCATGTGTAATATTTGAGGCCCTCACAATGTGCTTATGAGGAGTACTCTCCTCTGGGATGCGACAGCTTAGTCTGGTAAGAGTGCACTCACGTTTCAATGACACCACCGGGCGTTTGTAGTAAAGCGAATTTGAATGCTATGACTGGTGTTTCGTGTGGATTGTCACTTCACGAGCCCATAATTGAGAGTTTCTGGCCGTTTCTGGCACTGCGGGTAACACGTGACTCACCTACGAACAAAATACAGCGATGTAAGTGATAATGAGCTGCTGACCAACGACGGAATTCCCATACCCATAGCTGTGAAACAGTTTACATCAGGGCCCACGCTGATATGACATTTTTCACTCAGAATGACCTTAGGAACTTATAAATTGCTAAGAATCCCTGTGCAATTCTGATAGTCTTAACCGTCTTAACTACTACACGGAACAAAGTATGGCAAAATGTGTGGGGTAAGCAAAGGTTTTTATTTCACGTGTTGATATATAAGATGGAAGCAGTGACGTTATATGTAACTGATATAATGACAATCTATTAATCCAAGGACTATCAGTCTGTCAATAAAGGCCCTGTTGCCGGAAGCCACTCACTCAATACTATAAACGAATGCTGAAGCACTCTGTCTCTTAATAATTTATAACATTACTCGTGCTCGTGCTCGTGCTCGTGCTCGTGTGACTCGCTATGCTCGCGAGTAATGTGGACGATATGTCAAGTCACGAGACAAGCAAATTTTAAATTTAAAAACTATAGCGAATAAATTAATATACGACTGCAGCCTATATACACTACGAGTAAATACGCGGATCCTCACGCACCGAAGCCTGGCGAGCAATTGAAGTAGTGTGGACGAAGATTTACGAGCACAAGTAAAAGCCAGTCGAGTCTCCCGACGAGCACAAGCCTGCCGAGCACGAGTAATGTGGACGCGTCTTTATACACATGCACCCATAGATAAACTATAAATTAAGAGAATGACGTACAAAAATACTGAAATGTTTGCATGTGATGCATTTGTTTGTCTCTAATTGACTGTTCACCTCGACTCAAATGGAATCGTTCAGAAATACACACTTACATGCCTCAGTTCACTTCACTAACATTCCCGCTAGAAAACTTGCTTACAAACTTACGTTTAATAATATTTTTATTGATAACATTAAGGTTGTGGGTCTCTGTACTGAAACACAGACGACGACACATTTAAAAATAATTTTGAAGATCGATTATTTATATTTGGCTTATTTTCGTCCATTTTCTATTTCGATATGAAGCCATGAAGGGAAAAGACCACTCAGAAAGAATTAGACATAAACTGGAGGATAATATTAAAGTTTATTAAAGGTACAGGGTTGCTGATGGGATAATCACAGGGTATGCTCAACAGATCATGATTGCTCATGTTGTTTGATATCCATAAATTCCTATTCTGCTCAAATTATTTAAAATACTATTCTAACACCCGTTGAAAATTCAACGAGACGTCTCATCATTTATTACGCAAGATTGCGTACTCATAACTTCCCTTGCTTTCTCCCATATTGCTTTCAAATCCTTCAAGTTATCGCATCGACACGTCGAAGCCGACGGTGAATGCCATCTCCCACGAATAACACGCACAAATACTCAATCGTAATTTGTCTTCTTTATAAGGTGTACTACACTTCACATAACCACAACAAAATTCTCTCCATACTCACACAATAGACACGATACACCGAAACAAAATTCTGCGTGCTCATTCGTGACCTACCATATACCTTATGTTCTTGCAGCGCGTTAACGCTTGAGAATTCGTTACTATGGTAACCTAAAATTGCTCAAACACAATGAAAAATCACACGCTTACCAACTATTCATGTATATCTATATACATAAAACGGTTAATATGTATGTATATAACGGTTAATATGTACTCTTGTCTTCATGGCGTTGTGCTAATTCATGAGGTACAGGGACAACTTTACCTTAAGTTCTATGTATTTTAGTAAATATACAATGTGGAAGGAAATGGTTTTAATTGGTGCAGAGTCAGTGGTGTAGTCCCCCCCCCCCAAAAAAAAGTTAAAAGTACCAGTGTGTATGGGCAGGCAGTTTCGAGCCGAATGAAATGCATAAAAATCATGAAGTCAATGTCGTTGCTTGACAACGGCTGCTAACTTTAGTGTGCAGACTGAACAAGCAGCTCATGGGGCCCACATACTTGGAGGGGCTGCGCCCGCCACCTCACAGGTGGCAAACTAAACACTCTACAATAACGGTTATACTTTCTGGCTATAACTCCGTGTAGCCTGTTGAAAGTCAACCGACATTTAGGAGGAACATTTCGCCTCCATCTTCAGGGTTTAAGAGTAAGCCAAACAAGAAACCAACATGAAGCAAGCCGAGACGTCGGCAGACTTTTAACGGACTACACGGCGTCACATCCCAGAAGATAGAATTATTCATAACCACCTCTGTGAGAACCCCAAGTCCTACAAAGGCCACAGTAACTTTATACCCATACTTCACGTCACAGACGAGCAGTAGGGCTCGAGCACAGCCCTGCCTGGTGGAGGACTTCGATATCTAACAGTAGTACTTTCACATTCCGCCATCAGAGGTCTCTGCAGGAACTCTGTTAGCCTCTTCTGACAGTAAAGGTGTTTTCAGGTCTCTTTTTAAAAGACTTGAGATCTCGTATCACATCGCAATATGCACCTGATGTGCTTTGAAACCAAGTGGAGCTCAGAGAACTAACTAACGCATATTTCAGGGTTCAGTTTTCCGTCAGTTCCAATACTTCAAACCTGCACAATGAAAAGCAATATCTGACAGCAAATTAAGGCCGTTCACTTGCAGCGCTCGGCGTAAAGTGTACTGACTGTGCAGTGGCGGCTCATCAGTAGCAGCGACGGCATGGTACCCTGTACTGCTGTTCCTTGGACGCGGGGAAACCTCAAAGTAACACAGGCAAAAAACGCTCGAATGCAGAGAGGGATGGCGTTAACAATTAAATCAATCTGTTTTGACGTAAAGGAGAGGTGTGAAGGGGAGGAAGAGGAATGACGGTTGAACGAACATACAGAAACAGGGAATACGGTCAGTAAGGGGGTGAGGGATGAAAATACGAAAGCTATTGTTTTCCCCGAGAAACTAAACCTGCGCAAGAACTAAAATGTCACGAAAAGAAACGGGATTTTGCTCGTTAGATTTAAGTTTCTATAGGAAATAGTGAGAATTTCCGTTCAGGGTACGACGGACATGGCAAGAGCAATACGTTTAAATTTGTACCTGACGCAAGACTGGTCATGAGAACGGCAGGCTGTAGAGAGGAGTTACTGCGTAATGCGAATGCTTAGCAAAATTCACCAAAATTCTTGCATGGACTGTACCCTTACAATCTTCCGTAGAGAGGTGTTGTGTCATTTCGATCTAAGTAAGCAGTTCTGTTCTACTTTGAAATTCAAATTACACGGAATAAATTAATCAAAATAATAATGTCGGTTCTTAAAAGTAATTGGTAACGCAGGTTCCTGCACGCTGTTGTCATGGTAACCCATAAAATTATGTTCAATTCTTCTGAATATATCGAAGAGACCGGGTGTGTTCCTCTCGAAAACGTGACAGTATTAAGATATCTGAACGCAGTTAATAGAGTTAGACAAAATTGAAATAAATTCTGTACGGGGTCAGTAACCAGCAAATATTCAATTTCGAGAAATCAAATCGTTCACAGATAAGTGACGTAAGTGTTTCTCCAGAAATCTTCCGTGTGCACAAGAGAGGAAACTGTACCATGTAACTGCGTGCCGAGACATTGCTAGCAAGCCGTTCGTAATTCGGAAGGAAAAAGTATCCTTTCATATCCTGCGGCCTCAATTGCGCTGGCGAAGCAGATGAAGATGATGAGGATGATGGTTAAAAGGATCCGGGAAGAACAGAGTAGTAGAATAGAGCGAACATATACAGGGAGATTCACTTGGAGGAGGTCCCAAATTAATAATTATACAATACGAAATACAGATCTGCACATGAAAACGAAACCTAGCAGCACCGACCTGGTGGCTGCCTCCCCGGTTTGTGCCACTTACTTCATTCTACGAATCCCACCTGTCATGCTGGTTCCAGCATTCGCGAGCACGAAGCGTCCTGTCGGCCTGTGTCTCCGGGCGGAGGGAAACCAAATCACGCGCCAAGCTCCGTTCCTGTCGCCCAAATTATTGCGCGATCTATATGCACTAATTTCGGGCCTTCTCTGAATCACCCTGTAGATGGAATGGAAAGAGAAGAGAAGCAGAAGTAAAGAAACGGGGGAAGAAACAAAGGATAAGAGATGAAGAACACGAACTAAGCATAGAGGTTCACGGGAGGAGGCGGTAGTGGCATAAATTGAGGTACATTGCCTTCCTAAAATTTCCGGGAGAGACCGAGGAAAACCATGTATGTAGGGAAGCAGAAGTGCGAGCAACACCTGTCTGTGGTGCCAACCGCCTCACTTGCATCGTGACAGCAGAGTCCAAACTAAATTAAAACCCGCCACTGGGCACGATCCTGAGCCAGTTCCATCCAACTCATACTTTATGATTCTTCTCAATGTTATACACCATCTTCTTCATAGTTTTCCACATCAAAATTCTATGCACATGCCTTGTCTCCCCCTCCCAGCATCTCGTATTCCCCTAGATCATCCTAGTGAAAGGCATGGGCTGGGGATGTAGAAGGCAGGGTGCTGAAGGGAGTGGATTTGGAGCTAATGGGGAGGATGGAGAAAATAAGATAACAAGGAGCTTAATAATTTGTGCTCCTAATGAAATATTTTTAGGGTGATAAAATCAAAGGGAGTGAGACGGGTGGGACACGTAGCATGCATACAGCATTTCAAGGAATTCCCGAGACTTCCGATTTTGTCGTTCCAGAATCGCATAGATTGATATCTGACGGGAACTTGGAAACGCTACTACACCTCATACATCAACATCAAAATATTATCTATACTCACAGAATAGACACGATACACTGAAACAAAGGGATACTCCTTCGCTTATGACCTGCTACATAACTCGTTCATGCAACACGATAGCGCTCCACAGTTTGTTGCCAAGGGAACCTGAAACTGCGTATTGACAATAATAAACCTCATGCTTTCGAAATGTTTATTTGTGTGTGGGGGTATGTATGCCCGTCAATCACTGGTCACGGTGACAAGTCGAGTCTGTTTCCTGCCGCAGTTTAGCCCAGTTTCCACACACCTCAGTACGAACCTGTTGGGCGCCAACCCTCTGCGCATGTGTAGCAAACGCCCGGCACCCGCAAACAGCCCCGCAGGAGGGACGGCAGTAAGCGTCCGTCTCCCAGAGTGAGCAGTGTTCGCGTCGAGTTGCGATTGTTACAGCGTCGCGACGCCGAGCTACTTATCGAAGGACGTCGACAGGTACCTCGGACTAAACAAGTGGGACATTTGAAAGCAACCAGCAGCATAGAGGCATTCATTAAGCCTATAAGTCACATCGGTTACTATAGATACCACCTGGCGTAACGTTACAAAACTCTGCATTCTGCCCACACAGTGTATCTGCGTGTTCCGTATGGTTCTCACAGTAAACAGCGACTGTTTCCCTAAACAGAATTAACCGGTTGGGCTTTGTAGCGGAGACGTAATGTTTCCTGTGAGGTACGGACTGAACATACTAAAACTCTCCATTCTGCCCACACAGTGTATCTGTGTGTTCCGTGTGGCTCTCACAGTAAACAGCGGCTGTTTCCCTAAACAGCATTAACCGATTGGCCTCTGCAGTGGAGACGTAATGTTTCCTGTGAGGTACGGACTGAACATACTAAAACTCTGCATTCTGTCCACAGAGTGTATCTGTGTGTTCCGTATGGCTCTCACAGTAAACAGCATTAACCGGATGGGCTTTGTAGCGGAGACGTAATGTTTCCTGTGAGGTACGGACTGAACATACTAAAACTCTGCATTCTGCCCACACAGTGTATCTGTGTGTTCCGTATGGCTCTCACAGTAAACAGCGACTGTTTCCCAACTCTGAATTAATCGACTGGCATTCCTATTGGTCACACAGCATGCTTACTGTGAGGTACGGACTGAGTCTTAAATGTTATTCACATTAACTTCAAAATTAAGCTCCACTCCACCAAAAATATTTTCCCAAATTGTACAGCTCGACATTAATTCAGAAAAACAAATTCCAGGATTGAAAGCCAAAATTAGCAACAGAAGTGATGAATATTTAATTAAGCGTTCGATATGTCTCAAAATTTCAGAAACTGGGGTAAACACCAGATAATAGAGAAGTTTGTAGCACCATAAAGGAACGTCAATAGTTCCATTTCGAGCACTCACGGTTAATCGTAACATTCAGCATCGAGAAAGGAAACAGAAATTAGAGGCTTCTGGAAGATCTTTTAAATAAGCGTTTTTCGTGAAAATGACGACAAAGGAGAACCGCCGGCGCCCAGAATTAGATCTATTAGCAGCGAGCGCGTGCAATCATTTACCGGCGCACTAAGTTCCCATAATCTCAGCATCATTACTGTTTCATTGTGCAGGGAGGCTTTCTGAAAAACACTGCCTACCGCACAGTCCCGCACGAATGAGCCAGACTGGGAGCAGAATTTCGCGTTACATAACAACAATTTGACCAGTTATTTTGTGTGGGTGTGAAACACGGTCTCTTAGTTTCACACAAAAACATAAACCCGGGTGTGGTTATGACAATATTTGTACGTAACAAGCAAGCACTTCCGAACGAGAACAGATGACAGAGTTCTCCGGGAGAGGGTGATGCATCAGGGAATTCACACACAGTTTCATGGCAAGACTCCCTATAAAACGTAAACTTGGGAGATCAAGAAGAAGACGGGTGGACAACATTAGAATTGAAGAAAGCAGTCTTCTGGGATATAGCACCGTGTAGATGTGGTGTTAGCCGACGTTTCGGAGGAACGTATCGCCTCCATCTTCAGGGGAGAAGGAAAAATAAGAAATCCGCAAGCGAAGAGACCGTGAGAACAGGTATAAGCACACTGCTTATTTTACCTTCTACCCTGAAGATGGAGGCGATACCTTCCTCCGAAACGTCGGTTAACACCACATCTACACGGTGCCACATCCCAGAAGACTGCTTTCTTCATAGTCACCGCCGTGAAAACCTCAAATCTTACAACATTAGAATTGAGCTTCAGGAGTCAAGTTGTGACGAGAGGTGGATGGAACTAGAGCAGGACCGTGTGCAGTGGCGTGGTTTGTTATTAGAATTAACAGGCAAGTGAGCAGGCAGTGCACTGATTAACTTCGTGATTACCCCCATTTTAATTAAATCGACGGGTTTAAACTGGGCTCAACACACAGCTCTAACGGAGGAAATAACAAATACATGCATAATTTTTGCAGAGAATCCTGTCAAAAGCAACAACTAGGAAACCCCGATAACGAAATTCCAGGAGTGTAACAGAATACTAAATAAAAATTATCAGCAATTTGATTAATCTGGCTCAGAATTACATCCAACGGCCCCGGAGACTAAAGCGGACAAACTCGTAGTTCCGAGGTTAATGGATTGAGCTTTCCCACCCCTTCCCCTTCCATCTTCAGGCCATGGTGCTCAATTGTCTACTTTAAACCTGTAATATACTTTGTTCAGTCGTCTGTTAAGTCATTCTGTATCAGGTACAAATGCTATCCGTTTGTTTCTGTAGTTGCAGAAGGATCTGTAAGGTAAATCAGGAACTGACAAGTTATACATATGTATGCTTACATACAGCCAATAATGGTGACTATAGGTACCGCTAGCTCTGGCACTTCCTCAAGGGCAAGCCTGTATTTAGACACTGGCTTCTCATCACGGAGCCCGACTTTAGTGCCGGGTGAGGTCCTGTGAGACGCACGAAGTGCTGTTGTAGCCGCATCTTCACCGAGTTCCCTCGAGTTTCTGCATTGCGGCCGCTGAGGTGTGCGGTACCCTGACGAGGCAGCACACTGGAGCTCCATCTCTGACCCGGTGCTTATAGAGTCAGGAAATGAATTACTTTCTTACGTGTATGTTTCATACGCTTTTCAGAACAAACAGCGGCTATTTCCCTGAACGACAGTAAAAGTTTTGTTTTCACGGTACAGACACAGTGTGTTCTCTGTGAGGTAGGAACTGAGTTCTTAGGTGAATTTCGTTGTTCTAAAGGTCATACAGGTTTCTCGGTTTTCCTGCCTCCAAGCAAATGCTGAGGCGGTTCCCAAGTTCCCAGTTGCTGCTGTGTGCTTCTCACGTAGGCCCCCCCCCCGGTTTGAGCTCATCAAAATCTCCCAGGAGTCTTTGCAAATTATGCGACTTTCCATTAATCGGACAATCAAAATTCCGCGGCCCTTGTTCACGGCTGTACACGAAAGTAATTATCTAACCTGTAATAACGAATTATTTCCCTAAACACCCAGGCTAGTGAGTACTGCTAAGGCTCCATGTACCAGGCCGTCGGTTTGGAGTGGCCCCCCCGATCTCCTCACTCTGGCTTCGTACTTTAGAGAGTTAACAATTGCACATTCACTAGAAGAGCTGAGCGTCTCAAGAGCAACACAGTGAAGAAGCGTGTTTCTCCACGGGCAGTGCTACATGTTGAACTGAACATTGACTCCGTACGGACGGACGCCAACCGAAAGTGCAAGGGAACACAGGATCACTTACGGCACCATAAGTTAACCTCACTGTGGTAATCGCATACATGGTTGGCCAGAGGGCATGGACGCTGTCTACTGTGCGTGAATTCGCCATGTTTCTACACGTGCTCACTATTGCCATCTTCAGTAAGTATCACTGAACAAGTTTTGTAATACGTAGTGTCGTTCCACAATTTCATGTGAGCTTAGCAAGTAACTGTCGAGTGTTAACATTAACGGAAGTCGTGCAGTAGGTAATGAAACAACGAGCAGTCTTGTTTCAGTGAACGTGCCTATTCTGTGAGTACCGATAATATTTTGTTGTGGATGTATGAAGTGTAGGCCCCAGAGCCACTGTCCTTCAGCCGGGTGTGCTTCTGCTGCCCTATGAGTCCACAGATATTCTTCTTATTCCATGTTTTAATCTAAATAATAATATTTAATATCAGTTGTTTTGTTCTGTCCATGCACAGAATTTGTTTATGTATTCGTGCTGACTCTAACTGGCCTTTGGGCTACTNCCCCCCCCCGTCTCCACGGTGTTTTATTCACTTTTATACCCTGGGCGCAGAACACGCACACAGCTGAATGAATTTATATATTTACTGCATTGCTCTTCAGTTTGCAGGGATGTATAGCGAAACGGGCGGGCAGACGGCTGCGGAATTTACTTTGATTATCGTCATATATTAACCAACCAACTTCTGGAGAAGCTAGTAGTGTCTCAGCTAGTTACGAAAATCCCCACCCTTCATGAAACCGGAAGTTTCTCTGTTGCGCTCACCAGAGCCCAGCACTGGTCCCTATCCGAGCCAGATGAACCCAGGCCACTTCTTCGAATACTATTTATTTAAGATCTGCTTTAATATTATCCTGCAACCTGTTCATATGTCTCACAAATGGCCTCCTATATTTATATTTTCTGTCCACAAATTTATTTACACATTTCAACTTCACCTTGTGTGGTGCGTGTTCCTAACTCACTCGACATCCTGTAACCTCTTCAGCTGAAACCGTGTCATTAAATAAGAAACTAAACGCGAGGTGGTCTAGCGATACCGTTCTAGGTGTCCGGTTTGAATCTCGGTCAGGACGCCAGAGGTTTCTCGTGGTTTTCCTTAGTTCCTCCAAGCAGTACCTCGAGTACACCATGCCCGTTTCCTTCCAACTTCCTTCCAATTCATCGGGATCACCCCCCCCCCATGAAATCCATAAGAACGAACAGATGATGTGAAGACGGTAGAACTAGTGGCGCACGACACATCACCACTTCGGTTCTGCCAGCGTGCTCTTTTAGAGGTGATCACTATCACTGCAAAATGTTTAGGGCACCCTGTACTTAGCAGACAACTACTGAAACCTGACCCGTGATCAAAGCGTTAACGCTATGCCATGCAGAGGGCAGTAAGTACAGCACAGCCTCAAAACACGGAAGTGACGCACTAAGCTTACGGGTGAGGGGTGCACCGCTACGGCTCCGTACAATTGCTGCATTTCAGCTTCTCACAGCGGTTACCACAACGAGTGTTGCGGTCTGGAATGTGATGCAGTATAATCCGACGTTTCGGAGGAACGTACTTCAGATCGCTGCTTGCTTCTTGCTCGTCGTTCGTTCTCCCCGAAACGTCGGTGAAATCTTATGGCGTCACATCCCCCCAAATAATATTCTTAGAAAACATTTGCTTGAATTAAATGTTTCCAGGTCGATGGATTGTACTAGATATGTGCCGTGAAAGGTTTGCCAGACTGTATCGACATGGGATGCAGTCATACCAACTGTAAGGTTTATACGTTATTATTCACAAACTGTTGTGTGAAATCAAGTAACCCACTGTTTAGCTGGCACTCCGTAAAGTTGCTTCTTTCCCGACACGAAGAGAGAATTGTTGATATGTTTTACGGAACAGAAATTCATTCCAATTGGCTGCTTGAACAGAAATGAAGCCCGCGTCCTGACAGTTGAGTAGCCGTAACCTTGTCATCCTGGTAAAGTTCATAATGGGGGACATTATGCGAGCTGTCCGTGTGTAACCACTCAAGAACCGCCGAGCGGACTCTAACGAGATCTGACATCTGTTGAGTATTAATTAAAATGCAGTGACACGCTTCAATCTGAACTAAACTCAGGCAACAATGACGGACACTAGACACGATGAAGGACGCGCGCACCTCGAGCGGAACTCGCACATCCCCTGACGTCGTATACACTGGTAATATGTTGCGAGGGAAATCCAGAAGAACCAGGCGTGGGAGAGATGACAAATGCAAGGCAAGACAGAAGTTGCGAGAACTATGTGCGCGTGACACAACGCATTCTCTGCATGGCTTACTCTACTACCCTCTCACTCTCTGAACTACAAGTATATTGTGTCCAATGGCAAGAAGACTGGCGAATCGTAAAGGATCTGAAAGGAAGCGGTCACGACCTAATTGTGGCAGTATACTGGGATTTTCCTGGAAGGACTCATGAAAACCACGGTAAATCTTAGTGAGGCTAACCGATGTCGACCCAAGAACCCCTGGAAAACACATTTACAAATTTACCTCAACCTGCTCGGTTGAGATGGTATAGAATCAGCTGGCTCAGGACAGAGTCCAGGGGCGATATATTGCGAACACGGCAATGCACCTTCAGGTTCCATATAAGGTGGGGAAATCCTTGAACCGTTAAGCGACTGTCAGATTCTTCACAGAGGTTCTATTCAGACTACAACAGTGAAAATCGGCCTTAGTGAAGCATATGGAAGGGTGGATGACAGCAGAATAGTCGAAACATTCCTAGGACAGCTTACTGAGTAAGTGTGAATTTAAATTCTTCGCTCGGACCACCCGTGTCTCAAACATCGGCAGGGGATCTGAAAAGTGCATTACAGAGAACAGAGCCCAAGGACCTCCTGCCTGGGAAGGACGCGTACTGAGCACGGTCCTTAGGGAGATACTTGTGTGTGACGCGATCGGAGAGCAAACATACGACGAGCGGCAGGCTCGACGCCGGGAAACCGCACAAAACAATTCCATGGCAACCGGCCCGTGCAGCAACATCGCTTAGGGTGACTTGGCACGCTCTGCTTCCCGGGGGTTCGCCTAGCGTTTCGCGGCTCACTCAACTCACTCCTCAGCAGCTGGACTATGATCCTATGCTACAGAATAACGAACTCAAAACGTTCATTTTAAGGTACTATACCGGTATTTGTCTCAAGGGAGTGGAGAAAACCGGAGTCCCGGTTGAGGATCGAACCGAACACCTTCAAAACAAGAGTTTTGACCATTAGCGCTAAGCCAACCCGCTCGGCTTATTTTCTGCTACGTATATGCGTACTCATGCGTGTTTTCATTAATACTCATGTGGAATGGCGGATCTACAATCTAGGGCACTGACTTTCCAACTCAGTGACGTGTGCGCGCTACAAGTCTGTTCGATTCAGAAGTTTAACATCAACATTTTCACCTATTTCCAGGTCTACCCGTGTCCCTATTCTCTTTCACATTATACAGAGTGCCCCAGGAGGAAAGGTCAATATTCTGGGAGGTCATAGTATCAGTCATTCTAAGCAAAAGTGTGTATGTGTACATGTGTCCTATTCCGAACGGTTTCCGAGATAGAGCTATTTCACTGTACAGTTCCAAAACCGTTGAAAAGAAAGAGATATTACGTACTCTTTCTAATACCGGTATTTATTGTTCAAGTGACAAAGGTGGTACAGTTTACCTAGTGTAATACATTTCCGAAAATTCCACCGTCAACATTAGTGCACTTTGAACTCGTGTGAGGACATGACGTGTTCCTCGTCTGTACAGTGTAGGTGTACTGTTCAGTGAAACAATTGTATCCCGAAAACCGTTCGGAATACGTCACATGTACATACACACATTTTTGCTTAGAACGATCGACGCTATGATCCCCTAGAATTTTGACATTTCCTCCTGGGACACCCTGTATAACAAAGAGGCTGCCACAGTGGTAGATACCCCATTTGTAATATTTTAGCTGATAACGGCCCGCATGACATACTGTTAACGTGTTTACATGTTTTTACGAAAGTTTAAAGCGGTTTCATTTCCAGCAGCTGGGAGGTTAATTTACAAATCAAACAGTTGCCACCGCAGTGAACAGCCAGTTTGATTTCATCTTGTGGAAACAGCCGTTGGCACACGCAACACTACAACAGCACGCGCTCTTCTGTGGAGAGTTGGGATGAGCGAAATTTCGCAATGCGAACCTTCGTAAAGCGAGGGCTGCCCCTAGTAGTAAGCTTCCCCCCACCCCAAAGCTGTCCGCTTTCCTTTTCGCAAGCACAAACTCCGCAATAGAAGGGCCACTTCCTCCATATTCAATGTGGAGACAAATCTGTGCATGAACACCATGCCATGAAGATGTACAGAAGAATGGAGATGAACTCCATGCATTCACCGGACGTCGCAGTGGCTATCATACCTGCCTCGTATTCGAGAGATCCCGCGTTCAACCCTCACCACGGATATCAACTGTCCTGAGTAATAGCTTTGGTGGTTTTCCTCAGTCACTCCAAATGCATACCGGTACAGTACTTCAAATCAGGCCACGATCGCCTCCTTGCAGATCCTTGCCTTCCAGTTCTTTACTCACCTATCGTCCTATCGTTCGACGCTGCCCGAGCGTAAAACAAGACAACAGAGTCCTGACAATCGGTTTGTTAGTCAGTAAACTCAGCGCCTTCTATGGATCTCTCAGGTTCAGAACTGTTTAGAAAGGCCTGAACCAGGCAGATCACATTTATCTGAGACCCACTTTGACGTGCTACTCTCCAGGATGTGGGTTTGCCACAGTACTTCCGCACCTTAGCGACCTGTAAGCACGATGCACGCGCGCCAAGTGTCCTGTGCGCGCCGCGTGCTGCGGTCACAGGGTCAAGGCTTTTCTTCACAAGCTCTGGCTAACCACTGCTGAGCCCTGTGAGTGAGGAAGCACCGCAACGAGCCTAGCGGCGCCTTCCATTCTGAGTTATGTAACACGGACCCAGAAACTTAATAATGTTTCCTGTCAAATTCATACTGGCTCATTAAACAGAAGCTTTTTTGAACAAGACGTCAGGAGTAATACTCACCTCGCGTTACAACAGGGGTGGACAATCAGTTCATACTCAGGGAGGCCGGACAGGGCCACTTCGAAATGGCCATGTTCTGAAAAGTCTCGCGAGAGAAATCATATCATCGAACATTGTTAAACAAATATGAATTATGTACACTGAAAGCACACAAACCCTTCGACACATACAGGTATATGCAGTTTGTAAGCGCGAGATTTCGGGTATCCATAGCAACGAATTGTCGGGCGTTAACAGGATTCATGGACGTAAGTTTTGTCGTAATTCTCGAACGAGCGAGCAGACTCTGTTTCAGTGTTTCGTGTCTATTCTGTGAGTGCTGCTGCTAATATTTTGCTGTGGATATGTGAAGTGTAGTATACTTTATGAAGAAGACAATTTACGATTGAGTGTTTGTGCGTGTTATTCGTGGAAGATAACGTTAAACGTCGGCCTCGATATATCATTCGATAACAGGTAGGCCTGGGAATGAATACGGGAGAAAGCAAGGAAAGTTAAGAAAATGAAAGCTTATACAACATATGAGGAAACTTCCAATTGAATTGAAGAAAGCAGTCTTCTGGGATTTGGCACCGTGTATATGTGGTGTTAACCGACGTTTCTGCTTTACCGTTTCTCACGGTGTTGTCGCTTGCAGATTTCTTAAACTTTTTCTTCAACCCTGAAGATGGGGGCGATACGTTCCTCCGAAACGTCGGTTAACACCACATATACACGGTGCCAAATCCCAGAAGACTGCTTTCTTCATAGTCACCGCCGTGAAAGCCTCAAATCTTCCAATTGAATTATCCACGGGTGTTGCATTAATGATGATGATGATCATGATGATGATAATAATAACAATAATGAAGAGTGCCGTCTTCTGGGATGTTGCGCCGTGTAGATATTTTCTAAACCGACGTTTCGGAGGAACATATCGCCTCCGTCTTCAGGGTATAAATATCCGCGAGCGAGGAACCAGCGTGATCAGGTGGCTGCAGTATGCATACATTTAGACTTTAGTTGCCACTTTCAGGGTGGGAACGCACGACAACGAAACTGCTAAGGATGTCACTCTCCGATCGGGGAGTTAGTCTGCGACGGTGCATCTGAGCGACACGTGTTCCGACAAGTTGTACAGAAAAGTGAAACTCCCCCCCCCCCCGAAGCCGCGATAGCGCAGACACTATAGCGACTGACTACGGGCTGTAAGTTCCGGTAAGGTCAAGAATTTTCACTTCTCCATGTCGTCCGAACCGGCCCCGGGGTCCACCAAACCTCCCTGCCAATGGGTACTGGGGGCTCTTGGATCTTGCCATATCACAGGCGGTTAGTCGCCAGCTTTCCACAGCGGGGACCCGGGTTCGAGCCTAGGTAAGGTTGGATTTGTGGTGGACAAAGTGGCATTGGGACAGGTTTTCTCCGAGTACTTCAGTTTCCCCTGCCGATCTCAATTTACTACTCCACATAAGGGAGCATATCATCTATCAACCGAGGCTGGCACAATAGGGCAATTAGTGGCCGCCGTACCGGGTGGACTTAGTTTCACCCCATCCCAACAAACTAAAAACATTTTCCCCGCGGGTAAAGCGACTGGGACGCGAGGCTGAACACCCCCCCCCCCNGTGCCGAGGACAAGAAAATGCGGATCTATACATGCAATCCCCATACGCCTTCATGGTGTAGTGCTTGATTACTTAAGCACAGGGACAACTTTGCCTTACACGTTTCCCCCATAAGGACGCTTTTCCAGGAGCGCGTGTGGGTGCGTCGCCGGGAACCACTGACACGAGCGGAGCCGTTTCTGCGCCTCACACGACTGACCAGTGGCTCGCAGAGCGGAAAAGGAGTGAGGTCTCGCGGTCTTCGGGATAACTAAAAAAAGGGAGCAAATGCGGCGGAACTGCTGCACTTCCTGGTTTTATTGTTTTATTTATTTGAAGACTTTCTGGTGAGGTGTGGCGCCGTGTAGTTTGGTCTACCGCTGCCTCCACCTTCAGAATCATCCGAGACGTCAGTAAATACCAGACGACACGGCGTCACCTCCCACAAGACAGTGAACTTCACAGTCACTCACACCTCAGGGGATCAAACGGAGGGGTGAGGGGGTGGCGTGGCAGATGCACACGTGGGACAGACGATGAGTGTGCACAAGATGCAGGTCGGTAACCTGACGGGAGGAGACAGACCGACATCACACAAGTGTCACGCATGTTTGTGCTCCGCGAGGGAACAGGCAACTTCGGTTCAGACGAGTGCCATGATGAGTAGCTTGGCCTTGGTCTTGCAGAACGCTGCCAGACGCGCAGCCCACGGTAAAGTTGTGCGTTCACAAAACGTTATGTTTCTGTTTTCAGCCGGGGGTTCCTGGGCCGGAAGTCATGTTTGTGGCGATGGAGAGTTTCGGTGCAACAGTTCGCGCTTGTGTGTCCCCCAGCACCGGAACTGCGACAAGCGAGCGGACTGTCCCGACGGAAGTGACGAATGGAACTGCTGTAAGTACAGAGGACGGAACTGAAGCGCTATTCCTGCTCGCTGCAAGCAACTGCCTGTCGAAACAACTACATCACTAAGTAACGAACTCCATTAGAAGCTGAAAGTCGCTCAGCTGGTCAGCAAGTTCTCCATATTGCATCTCTTTAGGCCACAGTGGACATATGCACCACCTGCTTTAGCACACTAAAACTCTGCATTCTGCCCATAGTATATCTGTGTGTTCCGTATGGCTCTCACAGTAAACAGCGGCTGTTTCCCTAAACAGCATTAACCGGTTGGGCTCTGTAGCGGGAGCGTAATGTTTCCTGTGAGGTATAACCCGGCCACCCTGTTCCTGGGGGATATAAATATGGGGACCTGGCCCTCCAGGTTGGGGAAGTCTAAAAAATTTGAGACAGTGAAATGTGATCATGAGTCCTGCGGGACTCGGACCTGTGAATGACTGTGCTGGCGAAGACCAGCAGAAATGTAAACGACACACCCATCATCTCATCAGAGAGGATGTTAGCAAGTTTTCAATTGGAAAATAAAATTGCTGGTCGTCAGTCTCGAGGGACTTGTCGCCAACAGGAACTGATTGGCGGTAAACCGCCAGCCGTATAGTGACTCTGACTCACTGCCGTGTTCGCAAGAGGTTACCACTGGACACTATCCTAAGCCGGAAGAATCCCATCCACACTCACATACTCCTTTAAAAGCAATTCTAGGGTCCAGGTTTTGGTCTCCAAATGTATATTACAACCTGTCAGAGGCTATTATTCCTCCCTCGTATTCGCAGGGTCTCGGGTTCAATTGTAGACCAACTGACCGAATACTTAGGCTGAGGTTTTCCCCATATTACGTCATGACCGTTTCCTTCCACACCCTCTTCAGTTCACTACTGCCCAACTACCATACGGTCCAGCGCCATAGTCTCAGTTAGGCAGAGCGTCGCTAAACAAGCAAAGTGGACGCTGAGAACATGTGTTTTGCAACAGTACAGTTAGCGCTCGCTAATCCGGATCCAGTGGGGGGAGGCGTCCGGATTAATGAAGGAAAGTTCGCCCTAGAAGAAACTTAGAAAACACATAAATGGAAAATTTAATAATATAGGTAGTGCTTATGAAAATAAATAATTTCTTCCTCCGTCAAAGCTGAAATCCAGGGTCTCCTTCATCGAGCTCAAGCCAATCTCGGATGTTTTCTTGCGTGGTTTCAGTCTCTCCAGCTGCCCTCAGCACAGCCTGAAAGTCCTCTTGCTCCTAAACCCCACGTGTCATTTGGAGTATGTACTCAAATGTGTACAGAATTTCTAATTATTCATATTTAGATCCGGATTAGCGAGGGTTTACTGCATTATGTTCTAGAACGTGACGCACTGTAGTCCGGTAGAAGTTGATTGTCGTTTCGGAGAAACAAACTGCCTCCATTCTCACGGTCGAAGAGTTAGCCAAGCAAGCAGCATAGAATGCACCTGCGATAACCTCTTTTTTTTCTTCGTTTAATCTACAATCCCGAAAATGGAGGCAGTACGTTCCTCCTGAAACGTCGCTAAACTACACTACACGGCGTCATATCCTCTCCACGGTGACCGCCGTGAGAACCTCAAAATCCAATGAATATATTTTTCTTACCGTGTACGACGGCTGTGCAGATCGATTCACTGTGAACTAGGCTTTCTATCTCTCCCATCTCTCTCTTCCTTGTTTCGAATGAAGTAACGTGCCTCGCTTCAGAGAGGGCGCCAGACCTCGTGAAATATTATTCCCTTGTCTCCTTGTTATCTGTATGCGATGACAGCTTCTGGAGACGATCTCAAAACAGGATACAGAGAGGGCCGTGGGCGACACAGACAGAAGCAGTAAGTGACATCTGTTGACAAATGCGAGAAAACATAACGACATACACTCTCTGCTGAGTGCTACGTAGGAGAAGTTTAATTGCACGCATCTGGCTATCTTCACTGTAAACAGGTCAAGAAATGCACGCATCTTCTGAACGAACCTAAATGCATTTCGAACGAAGAGACAGGGGCCGAACCGAGGTGCTATCCCAGTATTTTCCTGGAGCGAAGAAAACCACACAGTTAAGACAGAAAATGTCCCTCAAAGACTCGAACCCAGCAGCTAAAGTGTACGCACGACATGATATCAGAACTGACTTTGGGTCTCGTTCAGTCTCCTCTACCAGTCTGTTTCTCGGGAATAAAGCGATCGGAGCGTGAAGCTGAAAACTCCACTTTCTACCCGATAGAAGTGAAATTGTCCCTGTGCTAAATTAATTAAGCACGATGCCACGAAGACGTATAGAGGAGTGGATGTGTAGATCCATGTATTCTTGACATCGGCACTATATATACAACGTACGTGATCAGCTTCATGACCCGGCCGCTTTACCCCCGGGGGAAGGGACCCTTAGTCTGGAAGCCGTTAAGAAGAGAACAATCTCTTGCCCCTGTCGGAAATCGAAACTTGATCGTCACTATGCCGACTCTCCTGGGTAACTAGGGTTAAGACTGCGTGGAAGTTACTTCCACTCTACAATACGCCTTCATGGTGTTGCTTAATTAAGAGCATCCCTGTCTTAAGTGCGGCGCTATGGCACGAGCAGAGCGAGCCTCAGTCTCACCACCCGAGCGCTTCATCCGGGTGTCCACTGGGCGGGGACGCCGTCCTACAACCGGTCTCAACGTGCTGACGGTGACTTATGAACGCTTCAGGCGCCGTTAGTTCTGAGACAGCCCGACGTTCCGGACGAACTTAACGCCTCCATATGCAAACAGCAAACCAAGCAAGAAATGAGCAGAATGTGGCGTTATTTTTCGCCGAAACGTCGGGCTCCCTCCGTGCTACACGGTGTAACAACCCTCATAAACACTCATGTCCCTTCCGGTCACTTAATCGGCTGAAATATCTCGGCCCAACTTCTGGAAGAATTATGCCAATAAACTATGATTGGCTGGCCACTAAGCAAGAATGAGGAGGAAAATACATGCAGAGTCTGGTGGGAAAGCAACCAGAAGTAGGTAAAAAGGTATTAAATTATGTCAATGTGGTGTATATTTGTGTCCCGAAGGTGTGAATGTCACATGCCATAATTATGAGAGAACATGTGAACATGTGTCATACCGAAAAGCTGCATAAGTATTTCAATGTAGATGACAGAGGAGGTTAAGTGCAACCTAAACAACAGCGTGGCCAGTCGAGTGTCGGGTAAGGGATGAAGCCCCCAACTTGAAGCCTGAAGATGTGATAAGGTGCTGCTTTGTTACGGCTACCGCACAGCTCAAGGGGGCGATAGATGAAATGGAGTAATTGCGAAATGAAGACAAACAGAATAAAGCCGAAGAAACCTTCCCCAGTGCCACTTTGTCCACCATGAAATTCAGATAAAGTCACCCAGGACCGAACCCGAGGCGAGAAGTCAGTACTTGATCTTCTGGGCCTAATGTTACTGTATTTATTTGCTTACTCGCACTAACGGGATTTTGATCCTTTGGTGCCGAAAGACGTTTGAATCTTTGCCTTCACACAAGAAAAAGCCATTAGCTGATGTTTGTCTTGGATAAGCCAGGAACACCTCCGCCGGGGTCTTAAGGGCTTTCAACAAACATTCAAAATGCAACGGCCACCTTCTGAACCTTGACAGTGATGGAACGTTTTTAGCGTGATGATACTATTCATCAAAACCAAGGGAAGCCACAGAAAATGGAATCAAACTCGACAGTTTCATTACGAGCCAGGCCCAAGGAAACTGAGCAGGACAGTTGCTAAGACTGGCTGCTTGAGGACACACAAACACGAATGAGGATACGCTTCGCTATGTACTGAAATGTTTTCATCACTTAGACTTCAATGTAAAGAGAAATTATATCTCGAAGCCAGTGAAAAATCATTGCTTTACAATCCATAACGATGAAATTGGTTAATCACAATACCAGACAATAACTCGTAGCAACAATTAATACATTCTAACCTCTAAAACTATTAAAATTTTAATACCAAACAAATGCGTGCGTGTGTATTGTTTTATGTTAAAAGATCATCCATAGCTAAATGTACGAAGCAACCGAACTACTGTCATATTCAAATATGTTCTACTTACACAGTGAACTAAACGTTACATTATCCAGTGTCGCAACAGTTCAGACAACTCCAATATTTACCAGCAATTATCTGTAAAACACAAGAGAAGGGCCCGCTTCTAAAATTCTGGCACAGATGCTAGCGCAGTTCTTATCGCAGTAGTTCGTAAGACTGCTACGTTTGGCGCCAGTGGTGATATCATCTCTGAAACTCATAGCAGAGCTGCGGGTATGGCTAATTACAGGGGATTCCAACGCACCAGTCGTGTAATGATTACATCGAATTCTGCGAAATTTTGGACTCTCGGTGGCTATAGTATTGCGGTCTGATTTGGAATACGGGACGGCCGGTCGAATACATGCAGTTTGCTAGTTTGATTCTGAACACTCGTAACTAATAAACTGGTATATAAATATAAGAGCAGCAGTTGCAGAGCGTTTGTTCCGCTAGGCCCCTCCATTTGAAGCCCATAAACGCTGACTTCTGATGCTGTCCTACAAAGAACACAAAAGAGGCGAGACAAAACAAACTCCGTGATTTTAGTCCGTAAGCGAATTATACCGACCGAGCGACCGCCGCTTGTCGGCGAAGTTAGTGCTAATGCAAGAAAGGGATATTTAATATAAAAACCGATCAAGTTAAGATTTGAGGTTTTCACGACGGTGATTATGAAGACTGTCATCTTCTGGGAGGTGGGGCCGTGTAGATGTTGTGTGAGCCGACGTTTCGAAGGAACGTGTCGCCTCCATCTTCAGGGCAGAAAAATCCGAGAGCGAGGAACCAGCGTAAGCAGGTGGCTGCAGACTGAAGATGGAGGCGACACGTTCCTTCGAAACGTCGGTTCACATAAGATCTACATGGCGCCATATCTCAGAAGACTGCATTCTTCCGCTCGAGATAAGTCTGCCGGATATCGAGATAAGAGACGAATAAAC